TGATGGTATGTGGATAATCAAGGGGAGATGGTCTGAGGAAACTCTGAAGTCTCTGCAAGCAGAAATCTGTCTGGACAGGTTGGACAGGCACCTGTCAGGATGTTCATGAAGGCAATAAAGTGTTTATAAATACTCTTATTCAACATGTTCCCACAGTTTGCATGTGCTATTGCTGTCTATGTGTAACATCCACCAGAATATTCTCTTGTATCAGTGACATTTTAGACACTGTTTAACCTGACATATGCAAAATTCAGCAAGTATTTATTTCATCCAAGTAGCAGACTCCCCATATAAATACATGAACTGATATTTAGACTGTATTTGCAGCGCCACTGAAAAGTACCAAAGAAATCTAAGCTTGTTCTGGGATTATGTTCCTGCCTGTTTGTTTTGGCATGAGATTTTGTGGATTTCTTCTGGAAGAGAAGGGTGAGTAGTAAGGGGAGGATCTGTTTTAAAAATATATGCATCTTCTGCAGACCTTGTAAGGTATCCACTGGAAGCTGCTCATAGCCAGCGCCAGAGAGCACCACACAGACGGGTTTTGCTGTTTAACAAGCACTTCAGGTGCCAGTTCTCACAGGGGCTCAGTTATATGGAAGCTCACTGCAGAGCATAAGGCAACATCCAGAACACAATCCTATCTCATCCTAGAAGGAAAAGTGGCCTCCCATTTGGAAGGCCTTGCCAAGGCCTTTGAATCCTGCAAGCTCAAGCACTCAGGTTAGGGTCTTGAAATCCACCCAGCTCCAGAGTTTCTTTCCTTTGAAAGGTCTGACTTTTTCTAAAAGGGAGAGGTCTGCCAGGAAGGAACTACATATGGTTTCAATTTGAGTGACTGAGCCCCTCAATCTCTCCAACAGGCTCAGGGTAGAAAAGGAAAGATTCTCTTAGTGGGTGTAGTCTTTGTACAAGAAGGGATCGACCCTTAAATCCAGGTGTTGGATTTTACTTAGCACTCTGTCACCCAGGCCCAGAAGAGATAACATTTTAGTGCAAACTACAAAAAAAAATCTCATTTTAGTTCCACTTGGGTTTGTTAGAAAGATTCCATACCAACACATATGTGTGGGTATTGTATTTCTTTTTAATATGTCTGGTAGCACTCAGAGATTTATAATGTGTGCTAGGCTTCACTGTTCATTGTTAAACCACAAGTCCCCTTCTCCTTTTCCCAAAGGGGCTTTCGCTCCCTCCTTTTCGGGTATAGTCCTGAAGCCAAAGAAGGGTGCTGTTGTAACTGTATCATTCTTCATCTCTCTGAACCTGCAGCAAAACAAAGCCTTTTGCTGTGTGCACAGATGCAGCAGAATCCTGCTGTTTCCTATTTTTTGCAACAGCCATCATTTCTTCCTATGCAAGAAGCATAACCTGCATTTCCAGCAGGCCGTCTGAGTTACTGGAACTGTGTCTGTCTTCTCTGCAAATACTGTTTTGATTTTCCTTCTGTATTGGCCTGATTTTATTAACTTCTTTGAGAATTTTATTCCTACTCCAGTTTTTAAAAAATGTGACTCGGTGATGTAAGAACTGTGTAACACAGTATTAAAGTTTCTTTATGTTAAACAGATTAATATTTTCCCTTTCCCTAGTCAGTGAAAGCTCAGCTAAATCCTTCCCCTCCTGCTGTTCCTTCACCAGCTGTTCACTTTTCTGTCCATGTGCCAGTTAAAGGAAAAAACCCTATGCCTTCTTCTGCATGGTCTCCTATGCAGAGTATAGTTACAGTCTCCCTAACATTCTTAGTGTCCTTATTCTCCTTTTAAATGCCTCTTCTCAAATCTCTTTTAAATCCCACATCCCTGGTAGTGATGTATTTTAAGGTGCATAGGTAATTCAGCCCATTATCTTCACCTGTCTAATCTAACCTTATATTAACAAAGGGCAGAATGCAGGTAAACAGTATGTGGGGTTATTTTTAACAGTAAGAGCTCAAAAGTAGAGCACCTATTACATTATGAGAGCCATTACCTGTAGAGATTTTCTGTGGGTTGTCAGGACAGCTTCAGTAACACTTCAAGACAGATTTGGATGCAGAAATCTTAGACATTGATAGCTTTAGTAAGTGAGAGAGTTTTTGAGGTGGAAAACACGCAAGACTATTTGGCATTAATGAACACAATTGGGTATTGCTAGGATCATAAGGATGAGATTATTTACTGATATCCAATATTATTAAGTAAAAAAACATTGATCTGATTACTAATCAATGACAATGTCTTGCCAGCGCAGAGCAAGAAATTGCTGTTTGTGAGAAGGTGTGATGGAGCCATGGTTTTCCCATGTACAGGGAGCAAATGGGTCTATCACTTTACTTTTGCTTGTTGTAGGGCTTCTCTGGCAAGTAAGAGATATAGAAACACTTGCAAACAAAAAAAAAAAAACACCATGCCCAGCTTTGCAAAGCTGTTGAGTAACTTTTATCTTTTGTAAGGCAGCCCTAGAGGGGAGCAGTCCTCGGAGCACAGTCCCTGTATTCAAGCATGTACCCAAGCTTTGGACACCATGAATGGCAGTTTCTAAGCACCTCAAAAAGAGGTTCTACAAAAGCTGACACTAAGGTAGCTGAGAGGAAGGGCTGAGCAGAAGGAATTAAGCCTAAACCCCCATGGAATTTTACACTTTGCTCAAGGCCAGATTCACAGCAAAGCATCTCTGAGGGGCTGGCACCACATCAGTGCAAAAATTTCTGATTAAAAAAGAGGAGGAAATCTTTCTGTTCTTTTTTTTTTCTCCTTCCTCTAACACACATACGTGATTAGGGCACTTAATCTGGATATTATAGATTCACTTTTTTCAAAGGGCATTAGGATTTGGGTAGCTCTGTACACTGTATCAACCTCTTAGTGCCATGGGAAATACACTGATCCAAGTGGATAAGGCACACAGGCTTCCAAGCTATAACTGAAAGTGGAGAGGAACAGGTGTGGTTTTTATGTATGTATTTTTGTCATCAAGGGTGTAAATTCCCTGTGGTGGAGACACAGATAAGTTGTAAACATACATGTATGAGTGCTGCATTATGCTCTCATCCTCAGTTGTGAGAGTCATCACCTGGTGTTGTAAGACTGCGTAGATTCAGTTCAAAATATCACAAAGGAAAATAGCAGTAAAAACATGTCTGGATCATAGCTGGAAACTAGACTCTGTAAATACAGTCAAGTTTTGATGCTCATTTTGGTGGGGATCTCAGCAGGAGTATATGAACAATCATAACTTCAAAAAAAAACCCCAACAACAGGTTTTGGGAGCAAAGATCTGATTGTTTTTGATGCAGGAAAACCAAATACTAGAAAAGAGTAAGGTGCAAGAGAATGACACCCAAGACCCTGGTCTGGGGGATCAGAGGGTGAAGGCAGTGAGAATGTGGGGTGGCAATCTTGTTTGAGAGGAGGCATACCAGTAGAAGAGAGGCAGAGCAGGAGACAGGGCATGCAGCCAAGTGCAATGAATGATCAGGGTTTAAAACCTAGTACCCCTCTGCATCCCCAGCATTTGTAAAGGACTGTATTTGAGGATCTACTCCTGTCCCACTGCCAGTTAAAACCAAGATGCCTCTTTAATAAGATGCTAAAATACTCTTCGTTGTCATGTTTTCATTATGGCTGCTTGGGACATGGGAAGAAGTCTAAAATGTGTGTGGAGGGGACACAAAGCTGGTGAAGTTGTGCTTAGGGAATGGTGGTGCTGTTTACCACAGCTCTGTGGAGGACCGTGCAGTTGTTGTGTGGACAAGGGAAGCTGAAGCTATGTGAACCTGGGCTGAGGAAAAATTAAGGCTGGGTAAGCCTAGCACTCCTGAGAGCTGATGCCCAGCTTCTCATTAAAAACACACTGGCGGCAGCACAGCCTCAGCAGGGATGGGAACCAGTTATCCCTGTTGCATGGGGAGAGCTTCACCACACATGACCCAACTCACTCCAAACCCTCTGAATCTTTGTTAAAATATCACCTGGTGCTTCAGCAATAGTTCCTATGCTGTCAGTCTGCAGCCTAAGAAACTACTGTGTGCCTATGTAGGGTAGTAAGAGCTTGAACCACCTCACTTGTTCTCTGCCAGGCAGCAGAGACCCTCACAGCCCACCGCTTGGGCCCAGTAAAGGAGGGAGGCCATTTTTCCTGGAGGCAGCACTGCAACCCCATGAAGGGGGGTGGCAGCAAAGTAGCCTATCTGTTGGGTGGCATGAGGAGCTGGGAAGCCCTTGTTTTAATGGGGAAGGCACTGCAGAGAGGTCTGGGATAGTGACTGCTCCACCTCTTGGTCCCTGCATCTGTGCAGCATCCCTAGCAGAGCTGCATGCTATGCCACTCATGACAGTGCATGCAGCTGTAGGAACACATCCTGGTACTTGGTCTGGGGGTTCCCACAGCTCTACCCTACCTAATGTCTGATGTTACCAGCCCAAGCCCCGGCTTGCTCACCCAAGCGTGCAGGTGCTTATTTGTTTAAGTTGTAACTCTTGCGAGTTGGGATACGAGGTGCAGGAGGTAGGTTGAGGAAAAATTGACTGCTGTGTGTGGGACGAGGGTGCATTTGGTGTAGGCAAGCCTAGTGCCCTGGGAGCTGCCTCTTCCAGGAGCCGGCCAGCAGCATCTCTGCAGGCAGGGCGGCTCTCCCCTCCAAGGGGTGTCCGGGCGCCCTCATTCCGGCAAACACAGACGTTTAAAACAGGACGTTCAATGACTCTATGGACAGTCCGCGACCGGGACGGGCCAAGCGGCGTTCATCTCGGAAAAACCCGGAGCGGACCGGGCCGGTCCCGAGATCCCGCAGGGCTACCGGCCTCCTCCTCCCGGTGGCCAAGCGGGCCTGCGCTGTCCCGCGGGTGCGAGGGGGGGGCCGAGCCCGGCCCGGCCCGGCCCCTCCGCCCCCCGGCGGTGATGCCCAGCCGGGCCCAGCAGAGGTCGGGAGCGGGGGGTGGGCAGGGCAGGGGGCGGGCGGCCCGCCGCCCCCCCAGCACGTGCCTGCCCGCCCCTCGGGCCACTGCCGCGCCCCGACGGCTCCGGCATGGACGCGCCCGGCCGGTCGCCCGCTGGCCCCCGAGCGGGCCCCGAGGGCGCGGCGGCGGGACCGGGCCCGAGCCCGAGCGCGGCCACCGAGGAGGAGAAGGAGGAGGCGGCGGCGTATGTAGAGATCCGCGGCTCGCCGCGGGGGCCGGGGAAGAACGGCAAGATCCCTGCGCTGGCCACGGCCGGCGGCGCACCGGGGACCGGGACAGGGGATGTTGGCGGCTCGGAGAGCGGCGGGTCGCAGGCCGGTGCCGCGGGGACAGCATCCTCGGACCGCGGGCGCGACCACCCGCCTTCCCCGGGCGCGACGGCGGAGGGCTGTGGCGCTGACCCAGCCTCAGGAGGGGAGGCAGGGAGCTGCGGGCCGCCGGAGGCGGGAGTCTGCCCGGAATCCTCCTCGTCCTCCTGCCCTTCTCCGGTGCCCAAGGCGGGCGACTTTCGCGCTATGGGCGAACCGGTTTCGACAGAGGGCAAAACCTCCTCGTCCTCCTTCGGCTACGAAAGCGAGGAGGAGGACGCGGGGCGCAAGGCGGTCCGCCCCGGTGCCCCCCCTAGCATCCCCCCTGGCTGCAGCGGCGGCAACCGCGACGAGGCGCACTATATCAGCACGCAGGAGATCCAGCTGAGCGAGGTGGACCACGACATGGACTTCGACGCAGGGCTGGCCGCCCGCTGGGACTTCGAGGACAATAACGTGATCTACTCCTTCGTGGACTACGCCTCTTTCGGGAGCGACGAGACCCCGGGGGACACGGCGACGGAGGAGGAGGAGAATAGCTACCTCAGCACGAGCACCAGCGAGCCCAACAACCAGACGGACAGCATCGACAACACCAGCAGCACCGAGATCGTCAGCCTTACCTCCGAACACGACACCCCCGGCGGGGATAAGCGCGCCAGCTCGGGGGAAAGCCGGTCCAAGCAGTCCGGCCGCTCCGGCGGGAGCCCGGCCACCCAGCTTCTCCTATCAATCAAAGCCGCTTCCCGGGCTATAAATGAGTCTAGCAACGTGCGCGGAAAGCAAAACACTGTTTACGCTGCCAAGCATGAAGGCGACATGAGCCTCCGTGTCCCCACGGCTCCTGATCGCGATGCGAGTTTAAAACCGGACGCTGCCCGGGACCCCGCGAAAAAATTCATTGCGGTACCGGCGCGGCTGCTGCCGCGGTGCGGGGCCGCCCGGGCCGGGGAGCACTCCAGCGGCGCCTCCAGCGCCGTCAGCGAGCTGGACGATGCCGACAAAGAAGTGCGAAACCTGACGGCCAGGGCTTTCCGCAGCCTGGCTTATCCCTACTTCGACACCCTGCGCCCCAGCTCCCGCGCCTCCTCTGCCTCTCTTGCCGACAATGCCCTGGGCATCAACCGCTGGTCCACCTACCTGGACCTTAAGTGTGGCAGCCTGGGGCAGAGAGCCGAGCCCAGCCTCCTGCGCTCCGGCCGTTCACAGACCAAAGCCCTCGAGTTCGTGGTCAGCAAGCTCGATGGGGAGATCGCCCACGTCGAGTCACCGAGGCGGCTGCGGGCAGGCTCCCGGGTGGTGACCCTGCTGGACCTCGGCCATGGCTCCGAGGCCGGGCCGACCCCAGAGGCGGGCGGTGGGGAACCACCGGCGGCGGAGTGCAGCGTGGGGGGACCCATCAAGAAGTCCAAGTTCGCTTCCAGCCTCCTCAAAAACGTCATCTCTAAGAAGATGCAGCTGGAGCACGAGTTCAAGATGGAGCGGGGCGAGATCACCGACACCTCCTACACCGGACCGGGCGCCGGACGGGAGCCGGAGCCCGCCGGTGGCGGGCGGGAGGGGCAACGGGAGGGCGGTGTGCAGCGGCAGAGCTCCCGGCACTCGGAGGGCGGCTCGGACTGCACCGCCGCGACGGCGGAGGAAACGGGCGAGGGCTGCGGTGGCCGGTCACCGGCCTCCAAGGCGTCGACTCCCCGGGAGGGGAACCGCAGCCTGGACCGGGCGCTGACGGAGGAGCTGTGCGAGGTGAAGCGCAGCGCCTCCGAGGCCATCAAGGCCACCTTCCTTCGCAGCCAGAACAGCGCCTTCAGGTCCTGGAAGGAGCGGGAGGCGGAAAAGAAAGAGGAGAGGGCGCCCATCGGCAAGCTGAAGCTCTCCTCCAGGCACGACTGGCGGGCCGATCTGGGCGAGATCTCCGCCGGCAAGTCCACCAAGATGTCCCGCCTGTTCGTCCCCGCCATGCAGCACACCCCACGGGAAAAGCAGCCCGGCAAGCAGGCGACCAAGTGCTCCCCTGCCCCCGCCTCCTCCCCCCCGTCCGCCAAGCCCAGAGCTCCCGAGATCAAGATCAGCCTGGGCAGCCTGCAGCAGCCCCGGGACGCCGGCTTCAGCATCGCCCAGCTGCTAACGCCGCGGATAGCGGGCCGGCCGCCAGAGGAGGGCCGGAGCCAGCAGCTCAGGCTGCCCAAGCCCGGCGACGGCTCAGACAAGGTGCCTCAGTTCACGGTGCGCGATGTGCGGGACGGCAAGAATAGACCCCAGGGCCCCCTCCACCAGGTGCGGGACGTGCGGAAGCTCATCAAAAGCTCCTACAACTACGACTCGGGCGATAGCAGCGACAAGGGCAGCGTAGCCTCAGACCAGGGCGGCCAGGAGCAGAAGCCCCAGCAGCAGCTGGTCATCGCCGGAGTCCCCAGGGCCCTCTCCCCCGTGGTCATCACCTGCCAGGCGGTCGGCCACGCCAGCACCAAGCCCACCGAGGCGGGGCCCAAGGCGGCGGGAAGGGCGCCGGCCTGCCCCCCGGAGGGCACCGTCCTCGTGCACCGCACCTCGGGGAGGCTGCCGGTGGCCACCATCGCCCCCAACAAGAGCGACCCCCGCCAGCCGGCCGTGCTGAAGATCGTCTCCAAATCCGCCGCGCCTTGGCGGCACCAGCCACCCCAGCCGCCCGTCGAGAGGGGTCGGGGGCCGGAGGAGGACCCGCGGGAGGAGAGCAAGGCGGCGCCGGTACAAAACGCGCTGGAGAAGCTGACGGCGGCGGTGCGGAGCATGGAGGAGCTCTACAGCTTCAACAAACGCGAGTGGAAGCGCAAGAGCGACCCTCTGCCCATTACCGACAGCCACGTCCTCTCCCTCATCGCCAGCCAGGAACGGGACGCCGCGTCCCGGCCCACCCCTCCAGCCGCCGCCGCCGCCGCCGCCGCTGCTCCTCCCCCACCGCCGCCGACGGATAAGCCGGAGGAGCCGCCGGGTCAGGGGCCCGTCAGCGAGCGGCTGCCCCGCCGCCCCTTCAACACCAACGCCGACAAGGTCTCGGCCAAGGCGGCCGCCTTCGAGAGCCTGGCCCGGCAGCGGCAGCGCGGCCCGCCGGCCCCCCGCGCTGAACCCTCCGGTGTCCCCCGTGCCCTCCTCACCCTCCGCGGAGCCGGAGGAGCAGGAGCCCCCGCTCCGAGCAAGCCCCCCTCGGAGGGCGGCCTGCGGGGCCCGGCGGCACCGCGCTCCACCCGGCTTCCTGCGGGCGGCGGCGATGCGGAGCGCGGGCCGGACTGCGGGAACTACCTGTCCCTGCCGCTGAAGGCGGCCGCCGAGCCCGGGTCCCCCCCTCCCGACGTGCCGGTCTCTGGGGCGAACGGCGGCATCCGCCCCAGCCCGGTGTCAGCGGCAGCGACGGCAGCCGCGCTATGCAGCCTGCAGCCCTTCGGCACCGCCAAGCGCCAGGGCAGCCCCGTAACCCTGCCCGGACCCCCGTCCGCCGAGGAGCGCTCCGCCGCCGCCCCGCCGCCTCCCGCAGAGGGTCCGGCCGCCGCCCTCTACCGCCCGCCGCTGCCCTTCGCCGCCCTACCCGGTGGCGCGCCGCCGCCGTTGCTCTGCTTCTCGCCGTCCATGCCCACCGCGGCCACGGCGGCCGAACCCTTCCCGCAGACGCAGCGCAAGATGCTGCTGGACGTGAGCACCGGGCAGTACTACCTGGTGGACACGCCGGTGCAGCAGCTCCTCAAGCGGCGCCTCTTCGACCCCGAGACAGGGCAGTATGTGGAGGTGCCTGTGCCCCAGCAGCCGGCAGTTGCCCCCGTCCCTCTGCCCCTCTCGCCCCTGGCCCTCAACGCCGGGGCCTACGGCGCCACGTACATGCTGTACCCCGGCCTCCTGCCTGCCGCCGCCGTGCTGCCTACCGGTGCCCTACAGCGCCCGCTCTCCCACTCGGGCAGCGATGCCAGCGCCCCGGCCGAGTCCGGCAGCCCGGCAGCGGCAGAGGCCGCTTTCACCGAGAGCCCCTACTACGTGGCTACCGGCAAGGGCCCGCCGCCGCCACGGCGCGGGGCAGCCGAGGCGAAGCCGGTCATCAGCATCACAGCACCAGCCACCGGCCCACGGATCATCGCGCCGCCCTCCTTCGACGGCACCACCATGCGCTTTGTGGTGGAGCACCGGTGAAGAGCGTGGGTGAGTGGGGGCAGGCCATTAGCCACGCCAGTGATGGTTAAGGGTTGACCAGGTTAACTGCCAAATGGGAGCTTTGGCAGCCGCAGCTTCTCATCCTGAGGTAACGTGCCTGAGGTCCACAGGGGGGCCCTCACCAGGACTAAAATACAGCCACAGGATAGAAACACAAAGGTTCCACATGCCTGTCAGTGCAGTTGGGTATCCCTTGGAGCAGGATACTGGAGGCAGTTTCAGTAGAAGCCTGTGTTTGTGCAGCCCCATGGCCGGGGGACCCTGACTTAGTTGCATCCCCTTGCTCCTGGGCAGGGGAATGCGGTTGGACACCTCCTCTGAAACCGCTTTCAAGCCATGAAACCGCCCCTCCACCTTGGCAGAGCACGCCCTTTCTCACTCCCCATGGAGAGGCAAATACCCATCTGTGTCCTGAGCCTCTGTTTCTCCCCATCCTTGGGAAGAGTGAGAGATGGGTCTGATGGAGCCAAACCCTTATTTTGCATCCTTCTTGTTAGTGGGATGAGGGAGCAGGATACGTGGGGTGCTCTCCCAGTGCTATGGGGCTGCTGATGGGGACAGGGGCATCTACAGCTGCCTGCACTGCAAATCAGGATTTCATACAGCTACTCCAAGCTTGGCCTGACACAGCACTGCCAGTGTCTGGTTACCAGGGCTGTAAACCCAAGCCTGTAACCCAGGGCCAACCTCCAGACTGGGGGATGTGCGTGTGGGGCATTGACTGCCTGGTCTGGAGCAAGGGATAGGGCATGGGACTAGGCCTACGGCACACATTGAAACCAAGTGTGTGATGTCTTGCACAAAATAACTAAGGAACAATGATACGATAATTCTTTTTCAAATACATGAAATATTAAGCAAGCACCTTCAGGTGTCACTGCTCCTTTAGCCTGAGCGATAGAATGATAGAATCACAGACTGATTTGGGTTGGAAGGGACCTTAAAGCTCATCCAGCTCCAACCCCCTGCCACGGGCAGACACACATTCCACTAGAGCAGCCTCTCTAGGCAGCCTGTTCTAGTGCCTCACCACCCTCACAGTAAAGAACTTCTTCTTAATATCTAACCTGAATCTCTCCTTTTTCAGTTTAAAGCCATTCCCCCTTGTCCTATCACTAAATGCCACTTAAAAATTCCCTCTCCAGATTTCTTGTAGCCTCTTGCTTTAAAACACACAGCTCATCTTTATTGAGTGCAGTACTGGGCAGAGCTCCCAAAGTCTTTTGTAACTTACTGAAGACTCATGGAGTTTGTTCTTCATGTATATCAAGACACACCAGCAGTGACATTCGAAGGTTTGGGTTAGTCACCAGTTTGCACTCGGTTTTTCTCAGTTGCATGCTTAAGGGTAAATTCTTTCTTCCCGTGTTTGTTAGAGTTTGTTTGCTTCTGTAGTTCTTTCAGTTTGCATCATCTGCTATAGTAAATTATTTGTTGAATGAAACCTTGCTGAAATGATTTATACACCTCTGCTTGTAGATACTTTATTTTGAAAGTGACATTTTTCTGTCTTGGTTGCTTTCATTGGCCCTTATGGGGTCACTCAGGACAGGCAAGGTGCCAGTTGAAGCTGAGCTCTGCTGTGCTACTCAAGTTGATCTTGTCAGTAAAATCTTGGTAGAGTAGCTAAATAAAATAGCAAGAGGTATTTGATTTTTTCCATCTGGTCTGTAGGCTGAATTCAAACTGAGCACAGGGAAGTTAACTAGATTTCAGTTTAGGGACTTGCTACCTTTGAAAAGATGTCATGTATAGTGCAAGTGTTTCTATTTTACAGCAGATATTTAAATGAAAAGCTCTAGTTCTTCTCATCTCACTAATTAAAAGTGAAACATCATATTCAGGGTATGATTTGCCCCTCCTTTCCCAGGGGATTATCCCATGATGTCTTGCTCGCAGCACCTGGCATACCACTGAAGTGGGTGATGCTCTCTAAGAACTGCTCTTTCTCATTGGGGTGGTCAGTGGCTGCATCAATGCTCTGCATTCTTGGGTTGTACTGGAGCTCTGCCATTGCAACACAGGTGTGAAATCTGCCCCAAGAGACTGGTGATGCAAATTCTTGTACACTCATTACAGAAGGTCATTCAGCAGTTAGAAGGCTTTCATCTTTTACCATTAGTGATGCTAAGAGGCATGTTGTGTAATACAGACAGGGGTATCCCCTTCCCAGCAACCTCAGACGTGTTGAGGTAGGTGTCCTGCTGGTGCGTGATGGATGTGGTGTGGTTGTGGGCTTTTTTCTCAGTCTGCTCTGAAAGGCAGTAAACCAAATCATTTTAATTGCATGGTACAAGATGCTTTTAGCTTGTTATCAGACTTTGGTTATAGCTCTCAGTGGAAAAGGTATATGATATATGCCAGAGGGGAATCACATCAATAGCCTTTGTCACGATATGCTGTTCTGTCCGTGTACCTACCTAGCATTTTCATTCATCTACATAGCTCATGTTCTGTGGATGATTTTTTTTCTCCTCTCTTAATCTGCACCCCACTCCCTTATTTTCCTTTATCTCTTTTGTCTTTCTCTTCCTAATTAAACACATTTGTTTGCTTGGGGTAGTGTTCTTTCCCTAACAAGAGCAGGAGTGTAATTTCATATGAATTAGAGGGTGAACTGCTGATCATTTTTTCAATCCAATTGCTTTCATATCAAATCAGATTGGTTGCAGCAATGCTGTGCAGATCCTAAAATGGTTTTTAAGCCAGCCAGGTTTCATCACATGAACATGGGGTTTGAATAAAATGCTGTCCTTTCAGGTCGCTTCTATTTTAGTAGCCAAAATAAGCTGAATGAATGCTTTTCCTCTCCATGCCTGTATTCCTTCCTGCACATAATATCTTCATCCTTTCTTTAATTTTTTTTTTACATCTTCATTGACAAACAGTATCACCATGTCAATGACAGTGTCACCATGTCAAGCACTGCTTCATCTTGGTCACTGTCACCTCTTGGAGAGCAGTGTGTTAGAGCTGAATTGAAGCTTTGGTGGCAATAGGATGACCATGGTGCTGTTGGCACTGAGTCCTCTGCACATCTGCTGCTCTTGCAACACTTCTTTCTGTGTCTGATGCTCTTTTCTGTGTAATCAATGGGATAGAATAGATCCTATCTATTTGGACTCTGGCAAAATCTAAGATATTTCTAAACAATTCTTAATTTTTTTTATACACAACAAATATTAGAGAGTATGTACATGTTTTTGAGAGATATCATGAGGTTGCTTTTCTCCCTCCACTTGCCAACAGTAGTTGGTAAGCTTTTAGCAACATAGTTCTCTGCTGCACTTCTTCCTTCATATGGGAAAAAAACGTGATGCTGATTTTCAGTTCTAGTATCTTGCGAACCTGCCTGCATACAAACCTAGGCAGCGCCAATCTGTAGTGAGAGATCTGCCTGGAGGGAGCTCATTCCCAGCTGGAATGACTAAAAATGTGTTTTAACTTTTGTATCTATTCTCACGTTACACTTTGGGGAGTTTCTGCTTTGTGATAGTTAAATAAATGAAAAAATAACATGCAGCAAAATGGGAAGTAACTGTAGTAATTTGTACTGCCAATATTAGAAGGGTATTTTATCTTGTTCTGTTTAAACATGTGCCCAAACTGAAGCTGGCTTATAGTTACAGGAATACATGGGGTATTTTTGTACATGACCGGCTAAGTCAAATGTGAGCAGTTCTTTCACCAAAGTATGCAAATATACTTATTAGTTGTGTTCCTTCCTACCTGCCATCTGACAATCTATGCCTACCTTTAAAAACTAATTCAGCATGGATAGTATATACAAATGATTTTTTTTAAAGGCTCATGCATCAATATTTTTAAACTCTGTTTTAGTTGTGCCCTATTCAGCAGAATGTGTAGTCCACACTACTAAGTCAAAAAGTCAACTTGCAGTGGAATATGCAGTATGTAGGATTTACTTATGCTGAGGCCTTTGCTGAGAGTTTAGTAAAGCATCTGTTCAATTTTAATGGGAAATACTGGCATATTCCAAGAATTTAAAGGGCTTCAGCATTTGATGTAGTAAAGCTACAAAGGGGAATAAGTATGAGCTTGTGTTAAAACCTACAGCTACTTAGGAAACATTTAAATAATGCTTAAATAATGGAATTTGTTAATAGTAGTTAATAAGAGAAGCTAATAATAGTAGTTAATAATGCTTAAATAATAGAAGTTAGTGGAGTGGCAAATGACTCTTTGGATACTTGTCCAAGCCAGTATTTAAGTCTTAACTCCACAAATCTTAGGGTACATGTTTATGGGTTGTTTCACTTTCACTTATGTACACCATGGTGGATTCTGTGTTAGGAAGTAAAGTGCTCAGGTCTCCAAGTGTATGGATCGCTTAAACCCTGGATGGATCACTTGCCCTCTTTCCACCTATGTGCGTGGGGTTGCCCAGAACCAGCCATGGGGAACTACAGGGTCATAAGGTACCATACATTTCACACCTTGAGCTGCAGGGGTTAGTTCTGCTCAAAAGCTAAGGCTACATGACCACTGACTCAGTTTAAAAAGTCGGGTGCTATTGTCTGATTCTTGGCAGTAGCTTAGGAAATTAGTAGCAAGAAGTAGTGTGATAATGAAGGAGACACTATTCACTTCTCTAGAGTAGTAAAGATTGCTCAAATGATTGTGGCTGCTCTCTTAACAATCTACTTTTTATTAATGATGCTTTTCTGTCTGTTTTTGTTGTTTGTTTACAGGGGTAAGGAAGAAGAATCACACTCCTTTAATCCAAAATACACTTGGTAACTCTAAACATTCATCCTAAAAACTGCTTCTACAGTTTTCTCTTTTTTTTTTTCCTGCTTCATCATACAAAACAAGTGTGTAAGTTTCTTGTTTTCTCCTAAATACCCCCCAATTTGGGAGCATGCATATATTTCATTATGTGAGCAACACTAAATTACTGCATTTTTTTCTGCAAAGCTGTTTTTATATGGAAGCCAATATGCAGGCTTCAGGCATTGCCTCTGTGCTGGTGCCTAGCGGTAGTAGTACCACTGCAGCTGTTTGTAAAACACAGGGTGTAAATGCAGCAGTGTTTCTGTGTGGATAGATGCTCAGCTTTGTTCAGGTCCCTGGAACGTGCTGTGATCCTCCAGTGCAGCCCCACAACTCTTAAAAATAAACCAAAAAAGCTCTCAGCTCTCTGCCATTGCAGAAAATGAGGGTCTTCCCTGTAGGTTTCATAATGATTCATGAGCAGATGTCTAGTTTGTACTCCGAACTTCTGCACCTGGAATTGCAATTGGAGAGATCTGTAGTGTTAAGGTTATCCTTTAGTGTTCATATTTTGGCATGGTTCAAACCAGATTGTGTAAATGTCAGAAAACACATTTGATTGCTTTCGTTTTCTGTTTGCTCCTCTGTACTGTGCTGAACATCACAAGTTGCCTTAATTATGACAGTGTTTAAATACTGGGAAGCCAGAAACAGAATGTCATATTTTTAGATCCTGGTTCTAAAGGAGAGGACAGCATTTATTTTTCTTTAAGACAGCAGTCTATTCTTCCTTGAATTGCAACATTGCAGAAAACATAACCTCAGTGACTCCCCTGTGGGAGTTGATGTTACAGCCCCAAGTAGTTGTTTCTTTAGCAGATTTATCTGAGGACTACATCCACACTATCTGTATTTGCTAAGAAAATATTTCTCTTTTGAACAAGAAAATAGAAAATAAGATGACTAAAATGCAGCGATATTTATGTCCATATGTTGAACTGTGCTTAAACTGATTCTTTTGTTGCCAGCAACGAGCAAAAGACAGCTGTTATCATGACAGTAAAACTGAAGTATAGTAGAGTGTTCCCTTCCCAAAATTTCAGTTCAGGGAAGCACTTTGGGAAGCCAATAAATGTGAGGTCAAACCTAAATTATTTAGCATAAAGTTTTCTTGAGGTAGCCTAGTCAAAATTTAGAAACTAAATGCAAAGCCCGTAAGCCCGTACTTCAGCATTTGCCCACAGAAAGGATTTTCCTGTGCCTGTTCTCAAGGTTTCCTGCTGCTAAGGAAGTTTCCAGGTTTTCCATTCTTAAAGAAAGCCCATGTTTTCGTTTTCCTAAGTAACACACAGAACACTCAGCTACAACTGTCTGTAACCATACGTGTGAGATTGCATTTCAAATGCAGTTTATTTGTTTACAGGCACAAATTGAAATTGCCCTCAGGATGAAATGCACTGCAGCTGTACAGATAGTGAGTGATTTAACATGTATCCTCTCATTTATCTTCATCGTTGTGGAAATCTAATGGAAAAATATTGTTCTAACCCTTCTAAAGAGCTTGGCGTGCCCAGCTAGAGCACATACTGTGTAAGCTTAACCCCCATGCACTTTGCGTTACAGTCTACAGTTACAAGCTGTAACTTCCTGCTGGGATTCGGGCTGAGTGTCTCTTAAAGAAAATGAATGCTGCTTCACCATTTTCCTGACTGATAAGTCCATAGACATTACTAGAGCATCAGTATTAAACAGAACAGTACTTTGGACTGCAGGACAGTGCAGGTACCAGAGTAGATTGTCCCCTGTGACATACATGTGTATGGTACGTACATTATAACACTAGCATCTCTGTTTCAAAATGTTTCTGTCCTATCTTTTCCTATATTGGTGCTCAGAGTGAAGTTTCACATTGCAGTTTACAAGATATAGGTTTGCACACACAAACTCAGGGTTTACAGTTCCACCCAGTGTACTTGAAAGGAAAAAAATGCACAAAACCCACGTGCCCGGGATTTCAGGGTGTATTTGAAGGGGGTAAATTTTGCAGGGATTTTTTTAACTGCCTGTGGAGACGAAAGCAATGAAATGAGGCAATGCCAACAGCTATTTATTTTCTCAGGGGAGATTTCTTCAGTGGAATGTGTCAGTCCCAATGTCAAACAGCGTCTGCTTAATACTGTCTGTTAGTAAAGAGACTCCATGTTTGCATCAATGGGTCAGTTTTGCAAGGAGCTTCACTTCACAGGCTCAGTCCAGCAAAGCCTTCACATGCTGTTCCAACTTCAAATATCTAAGCAGATTCCTGGGAACTTTAGTGGAAGTGCAGTCTTTCTTTTCACCATTCAATGCAATGCTTTGCTGAACTTGGCCCAGAGCACTGAGTGCCTTGCAGACCTGAGTCCCAGGTTCTTCACTTTACATGTATAAAACCAGAGCTCTGGGCTCGAGTCTAGCTGGGCCCAGCAGATAATGCCACAAAAGGTTGCCGGAAAATATCCAGTAATATGGTGCTCCTCCATGTATACATGGTGAATTGCTTTAGCCGATGGGGTGATGTGTAACCACATATCTTGAATTAGAGTCAAGCCCTCTGTGTCAGGGTTCACAAGCTGCTAGTATTATATGTTTCAAGGTGCAGTCATAGCATGTTACAGCTGAAATTCACCCCATATGCAAAGCAGAGAAAAATCCTGTGCACCACTCGAGTTCCGTCCTAGCCCTCCTATCATGGTCTGGGGGCTGTGGCCACCGGCCAGCCACTTCTGTGTGTTCTCTGTCAGGGTGCCAACTAAGAGTTTGCGCGGAACTGGAGTGATGCATGAATATTGTTCTGGTCTTTTGCAGCAGGGTTGGTTTCACTCAGTTAAATTTAATCCTTGGTGAATCACTTGGTGAATGATCTAAAATGTATTTATGGGTTGTGTGGGTTTGTTTTCGCCCCCTTTGTCTGCATTCAAAGCTACCTTTACTCTCTAGCGTTGATGGCCAAAGTGTCATTCCTTGTGCTTAGAAACTACCATTGCCTCGTGGCTACCTGAAAACACATACTTTTAAAATGCTTGTGTTTTTCCCCCTTTTTCTGTTTCTTTTTCTTCTTTTTTTTTTTTTTGTCCTCTTTTCTTCCTCCTCCCTTTTTTAAGGGGGTGGGTTATCAGTGTAAAGATATTTAAAAGTGCAAGTGTGAAGTAAGTAATGATTGTTAAGAGGATGTGGATGGTATGTCTGATGAGAGAGCGGTGAGCTATAAGGCAAAAGGAAAAATGCTGTGTACACATTGTGCTGATGATTGTTGCCTGGGGAGGGGGGGGGGATAAACAAAAGAAGAGACAAATGGACTCTTTGAGCTGCTCTCAATGTAGATGCCCCTGTGGCAAGTGTGTAAGTGAAGCCCGAAGTGATCCCGCTGCAGGATGCCTTGAGCCTGGGATGGAAGGACAGCAGAGTCGCTCTGAGAATTGCACTAGCAGCGCGTTGCACCTCGGGAACGCTTCAGGACGTCATGACCAGGCGGGAAGGACTGTCTGAAACCGCTGAGTACCAAAGTTTGTAACTGAATGAGATAGCATTTGTATTATGTTGGGGGGTTTTTTGAATGTTATGATAAAATAAAATGTATTTTTCAGTAAAAGACACAGTGCAAGTAAGCCTGCAGTTCCATGATTGCTTGTATGTTTGTGAAGTTACCCTTGCTGTTGTGGAGAGTAAGTAACAGAGGCATTACTTGGTTCAATGTGTGAACAGTAACAGAAGATTTCATTGGAGAGAAGATCCAAAACCTGTGTTTGTCCCAGCATTGTAAGTCTCTTTCTGACTTGATCTCCCTGTTCATTCTGCCCTCTTAGGATAAAGGGAGTTGGGAAGTTGGAGGCATTGCTTCATTTGACTCTCTTTGATTATTTTTTTTTTCCCAGATATAACTTAAATGAAAAAGGAGCTCCCCATTTTCAGTGAACTTTGGCTAGCAAATGGGTTCGGGTAACTGCATCTTTCTTTGATGGCTGATGATCTTCGCCACGAGGATGATCAGGGGACTGGAGCACGTCCTGTATGAAGACAGGCTGAGAAAGTTGGGGCTGTTCAGCCTGGAGAAGAGAAGGCTGCGTGGAGACCTCACAGCAGCCTTCCAGTATCTGAAGGGGGCCTGTAGGGATGCTGGGGAGGGACTCTTCATTAGGGACTGTAGTGACAGGACAAGGGGTAACAGGTTCAAACTTAAACAGGGGAAGTTTAGATTGGATATAAGGAAGAAGTTCTTTCCTGTTAGGGTGGTGAGGCACTGGAATGGGTTGCCCAGGGAAGTTGTGTTGGCAGTGTTCAAGGCCAGGTTGGACAGAGCCTTGGGTGATACAGTTTAGTGTGAGGTGTCCCTGCCCATGGCAGGGGTGTTGGAACTAGGTGATCTTAAGGTCCTTTCCAACCCTAAGTATTCTATGATTCTATGTAATGTGTTCAGAGAGAGCGATTGCTGGGTAAATAACTTTTTTCTGCTCATTCTCTGTTGTTTTCATTGTCTAATATTGTGTTGTGATCAGAAATAGATTTACTTTATTAGTGGATAGCAGTATTGCTTGAATTATTGCTAGGAAAAACCTTTTACTGCTTTTGTTCCTTCTACCCTAACAGAGATTGAGGAGCTTTCTGATGTTAAGTCAAATCCAAATGTTTAAAAAAAACACGAATCAAACACATGAAAAATCACAAAATGGACCTTGAAAGCTGAAAGATTAGTTCTGCAGTTTTAAAGAACACTTTCACTTCTCAGTTTTCAGTATGTAATGGGCACATTATAATGATCTTCCTTTTAATCACATGCTGTAGATGCCTAAAGGAAAAGAGATTCCCACCTCCTTTATCTGCAAGTAGTACAATGTGAAGACATCTACAGTTGAATTTACAGTATCATTCCAAGACATGGCAACACAGATTTCCTACTTTGATGGAAGCACAAGTTTACTGGTAAAACAGTGGTTTGGTGTTTGTGACATGCTCTCCCCTTCTGGATTCTTTGAAATCTGTACCTTAGCATTGCATTTAGGGTAGGTGTCATCAGTGCCATTGTAAAGTTAGTGATTCCTATACAGATATACAAATGGATTAATTGGTAGACCCAAAAGACTTAAGAGTGGAATGAGCATAGATATTGAAAGGAAGAATAGGGAAAAGAACTGGGGAAGAGCACAGCCACACAGGCTTAGCTCAAGAGGAGCAAGCTGAGAGACTGTAGGAGATCAAAGGATGAGCAAACCAGAACCAAATTAATAGTGTGTGTGTAAAGCAGAGATCGCTTTGTTCAAACTAGAGGAGTCTGAAATTGCAAAGGGACTTGGTGTTGTTAATAGGAAAATTTGTGAGCTGCTACTTTTCTCCAAGAATTGCTCCTGGAGCGTGGTTTTATTCAACCTTTGTAACAAGCTCTTCACAGCACTGATGGTTTCTCATGGTAGGTGGACATGCTAAGCTGAAACCTCTGCAGAAGGGAGGTCAAAATAAGCACACTGAGAAATATGAACTCTAACCTTTCCCTAAGAAGCCCAGTAGTAAAAGCACCTATTCTATAATTGCCGTCATCTTGGATTGTCGCTGTTGTCTAAGGTACAGTTGCAGTGTGCGTCTCATGTGCTTGTAACTCCTAAGCCATATCCGTACTTAAAGACTGCAGTTCCTTCCACGATGGGTAGCCAGGGAGGAGTGAAGTGTGAAGCTGAACCCTGGAATTCTAATTGTTTTTATTTATTTGAATCACAGAACGCTTTAGGTGGGAAGGGACCTTAAAGCTCATCCAGCTCCAACCACCTGCCATGGTCAGGGACACCTTCCACTAGACCAAGTTGCTCAAAGCCCTGTCCAACCTGGCTTTGAACACTGACAGGGATGGGGCAGCCACAGCTTCTCTGGGCAACCTGTGCCAGAGCCTCATCATCCTCACAGGGAAGAATTTCTTCCTGATATCTAATTATCTAATTGAAGTCTTCCCTCTTTCAGTTTAAAGCCATTCCCCCTTGTCCTGTCACTATGTGCTCTTGTAAAAGGTCCCTCTCCATACTTTTTTTGAAAAGTATATGGAAAATACTCTTTTCAAATTAGCACTCTCTGAAAGTCCAAGGGGAAAGTCTAAACATCTCTTTTGCAATTGGATTGCTTTCTCGACATAGCTGCATTATCATTGAACTGTTCTTTCTGTGGTTTCTAACTAAAAAGGACTGAGCATTTGCTTCTCTAAATTTCATGTATGAATTATTGTTTAATTGCCACCACTGCTGATTATTTAAAAGTATGCATAACAGTCATTACTAGAGATGTATGCTGCGTATTTGTGATTAATCCCCACTGATGTGATAAACACTCATAGTGTTTGCCCTGATTGTAACCCTAAGTGTGTTTTCACTTCAAATGCAGGCTTAAGCAATGTATTAATTTCACCTTATTTTTAGAAGATTTTCAGTTTTGTTGTTTCCGTAGCTATGGAGCCCATGTAAGGAAGCCATGGCCTTCTATTACCCAGCTGTTAGACTAAACCCCTTCTGGAATCCCCATTATGTCCAGCTGTTAGGCTTCAGAAGCAAGTGTATTGCTGTGATAGCAGAGGGTATCCATGAGGACACGTATTGCTTCTCAAGGATCAACAGAGGCTCTGTTTGATTGAGTTACAAGGGATGTTGTCAAAGCTGTGGAAGCCCCAGAACTGCCCTCACAGGCTGGTTGTCCCATTTTGGGACAGATGGGCACACGAGTTTCCTCAACAAGCTGTGACAGGGCTTGATGAGTAAATAACAAAGCCAAAGGCACGGATCAGTATCTCTGGGAGACTTGATGTATTGATGTTAAACAGATCTGTGCATTTCACTTGAAGAAGAAGCACACCTGGTGCTGTTGGCCAGATCCTTGGCCACAGCCAGATTATCTTCTGTAATCAAACAGTATTTTATGCTATGCTTTTTTAAATGTGAGCACGGATGTTACATTATTTTTACATGCCAGAGGGCCCTGTTTTACAGGCACACGTTCAGAATGGTCTTCGATTTGATAAATTTGAGAGAGGGTAAGCCTTGCAGCGGCATTGCTACTATCAGACACAGGTCAAACAGCTACAAATTCTGCTATCTAGAAACCTTTTACTCTGACTTTGGCTTGTGCAGTCATGGATGAGCCTGGCAGACTGCTGAGGCAAATGAGGATGTGGAGTTGATGTTGTCATCTGTTGGTATCTCAATTCTCTACAAGTGAAATAGTGATGATAGCTATTTCTTTGTGCCACGCATTGTCCTCACTCTATATTTAGGGTGTCAGATCACTGCAGGAGAAGACTGCCTCTTTCTGGGTGTGTGAATACTTAGCTCTGCTCTTATTTTTCATTTGATGTGACATGAATAACAAGTAGTAATAACAAATGTAAAAGCTTATCTTCAGTTTCAATTTCTCAAACAGTAGTGGTGGGACCCAATAGTGTCTACAAAATAGAGGGTACAGACTTTGAGCATGGATTTTGAGGGAAAGAGACAGCTTTGTGGGAGCCTTCCTGAAAGGACTGTGTTTGGGGAGAACGAGGGGGGGTTTGGAGGGGAGGAAGGAGAAACAACCCCTCATTGAGGGAGGAGTTAGGAGGAGGAGGAATACCCAGGGATGGGGTGTCATGTAAAACCTTTGACAGAGTGAAAGAGGGCGTTTAAAGCTGAGGATGAGGAGCAGGCTTGCTGGCAGTGCTTGCTGTGTTATATTACAGGGTGGTGTCACTGCCAGCAGTGTTGGTATCGCTTTGGTCTTAACTTATTTCTAGTGGCAGCACTGAAGAGGGCCATCTCTGTCTTACCTTTCCTCTAGGCAGAGGATTTGGGCAGGATGTGGTGTATCCTGCTCAGGGCCCATGTCACCCTCTGGAGATACTTCAGTCTCTTGACTAGAAGGGGAGCCTCGGACAAGTGGGTGTCCAACTCACGTTATTGGTTCCTAAGTGATGGTGAATTAAATAGTTCCTTTTGCCCCTAAAAGGACCATTCCTTTTCTAACAAGTGGTTTTCACAACCCAGAAGGTAACAAAAACCAAGCCTGAAAACAAAACTTTTTTTTTTTCAGTCTGTATTTTTACCTGGTTTATTTATGCTTTGACTAGAGGTGTGTCAGCGTTTTCAGGAAAGACAACAAGCAGACTGCTTCATCCCATTGATAGCCTGAGTTTTGCAGGTTTCTGCACTCTTGGTTTTTTTACAACACAGAAGAATTTGGATTTCTTTTAAATTCTTGTCATACTTTTTTTCCACCTTTTTTCCTCCATGAAATCCGTGAGTTTTTCCTGCCTGGCTTCGTTTATTTTGGAAAACAAGCGTTCCTGGCTTTTTATTTTACTTTTATGTGACCAGCAGTCACCCACCTTGTCATATAAAAATGAATCATGTCAGAGATCAGCTGAGTAGGAATAAGGTATATTCTTTCCTCATCTGCCATGCTGTTGTAAATGTAAAACATATTTCTTTTTTACACAGTTCCTATGAAGACACTGCTTGAATGAGCAAAAAGGTACAATCATTTTAATCAAAGGAATTGCATGAGTAGTGGTAACTTTTTTTGCAGTGAAATATGAGTAGAACCTACCTAGAAGAAAATGTTCTGGCTCTGCGCAAGCTTCATTAAACTGTGCGTTCAAAATTGATTTCCTTCAGGACCCTTTCTTTCATCATAGTTCAGAATTGCCTTAGTGAATGCTCATTTTTGAGATACACCTGCCTTGATTACACACAGGGGCACAAACCTTCAGGGGGTAACCTTGAAGAGCAGCCAGTGTTGACTTAACTCTGCCTCTGGTGGTAACTACAGAAATTATAGCAGAATTAAGGCAACCATAAGTACTTCTGGAAGTGTTACCCCATATTTTTAGTCAATTGTATTTAGCTACAGCAGATAATAAAAAAACCCTCAAAAGATAAATAATAATAACAATCAAGCTCTGACTGCTTAAAAAAGGGGGAAATCCTTTAAAACCATGTAAAATAAAACCTGCTTGTTTGTAAACAGGCAATACTGAGTAAGCAGGAAATTTTGGTCCCATTTAGATGTTAACTGTACTTCAGTATTTGAATGAGAGTCGGTCAAAGGCTTAAGCCACCTAAATACTTTAAAATATATTCATAAATAATCATTCTTTATACATCATAATTGTTCCTACTGCATGTCAAAACCATGGACTTTAGTGTTCCCCAAGAAAATAAAACAAGGGATTCTTTTCTCTTTTGGCACAAAAAGGTAAAACTAAAGAACTAGCAGCACCCTTGAGGGAGTGCATGGAATACTACCAAATTGGTCTTTACTTGCCTTAGCTATCTTTTCTTTACAAAAGGTTTAAATACAGGTTAACATGTAAACAGACTGCACACACTGAGAGTTTGATCCTGGCTTGTTGAAATTCCCATCCAAAATTCCCATTAACTGCGGTGGCACAAGATCAAGCTCCAAGTTAGTACGGCATGTACAAGCTGAAGTCATTGAGGGAGCCACGGCTGCAGGAAAGCAAAACCTCAGGTGCTCATTTAAAACCAGTTGCTGGAGGAATCAGACTTGACACCGATGACCTTCCTGCACATGTTGGAGTTCTCTTGATGGAGAGGGTATTCATTGCCTGCCAGTGGTTCTGCCTTCTCCCTCCTTGCAGTGTACCGTCTGCCCGATGGTAGACTTTCATACTTAGTCACATAACTCCTGTGAAGACACAAAATGATTGGTCTGGCATTAATAAATACATACAAAATCTGTACCATGTAGGTTATGCTAGATAAACACATTACACTTCCACCACATATAGGTCTGATCAGAAAGTGTTGTAGTATCTGCAAAATAGCATACTGTTTTCTTAGGATTTCTGGAGATGCTAGAGTTCTTTAATGCATTTCAGGCTTACCACCTTTTGGATCAGAAAAGCCTGAATGGAAATCTGGCACAGGCTCTGCAAATGTGACTGCTCTTAGGTGTTAGCAAATAGGGACTAGGAGGAAGTCGTAAACCCACTCTCTCACATGGCAATACAATTGCCACTCTTTGGCTACTGGAAAGCATCTTTTTATCTTATTGTGCAGTTGTTTAGCTTTCAGGTAAGTTGGTGCCTTAATAAAATATGATAAAACATGACAGTTGCAAGAACTTAACACACCAGATACATTTGTTGATGCCAGTAAATAGCAGATGATGAAAAAAACTTTCCACTTCAGTGAGTTTATAGCTATGCACTTCATCTCTCAACACTGTAGTAGAGAACTACTGCTGGCAGAGTTTCAGGTCACTGTCAGAACTGATCATAAACAAGGGGTATGTTGTGATCCTAAAAAAGGTACTTTCTGAATCTCAGGGGTTGGAGATGGGGGAGAATGGGTTGGGAGAGAAGTTGTAACAGCCTACACTGCATCTGACTGTGCTAGGCTAAAATTTGGTCTCCGTTAATATCTTGTGACTGTGAACACCACAAGTTTCTGATTCAGCAGCTGGCTGGAAGGAAGCCTCAGAAATTGTGTGCTCTTAGTTCTTACCTGAATGGAGAATCAACTCTGTCCATCTGCATACAGACTAAAAACGGGTACTGCGAAAACTGCACTGTGGAGATGAAGTCTAATGTTGTTTCTACTTCAAAAGTGGTTTCCATGCCAGTTTTCACAAAGAAGGAGTCCACCTCGGTGTTACCAGCTATAAACATGGCTACCCTGCAAATAAATTCAGGCACTGCAATTAATTCAAAACACATTAAGAAAGAGGAAATTAAGTTGCAAACAGTTCTACCATCCATGCATGAAAACTGAAGAAAGGAGCCTGTTCTTCAGGTAAAGAGATATAAATTCAGATGAGACCAGTGGGAACCGGTATTACCCAGATGTAAAGGGAAAGAAGTACAAATGTTCTCCCATGCACATAACTTACTTAATTTTAACTCATCTGCAAGGTCTTTTATATTTAAATTCTTCTCATTTGGACTACCAGGGCTCAGAAGCCTCTACAGCTACAGTGCGTGTTGGGAGTATCTCACCGGTTCTTGATGTTGGTTTTGGATTCCCTGTACCACAGGCTGAACTCCATCCCTCCTGAGATGTCAATGGCCAGGCCACCCAGGAACTCCGCGTTGGCCCTCGGCCCTGACTGCAGCTGGATCTCCTAGAGCCATTAGAAAGCACAGGTAACCCCCATTACTGACTGCAGACCTCAGTGGTTTCCTTATTCCCTTTTGTACTGCCAGCACGGCACTCATAATTTTTCAGGAACAAAAAGGAATAGAGGGCTTTTCTGAAAGGGCGGACAAAACATCTCTGATGTACATCACTCCCTAGAAATTGAGATGAAGCTAAGGCAAGGTGCCTTGCATCCTTTGCCTCTCCGCTATATGCCAGCTGGTGTAATTTCTGCAATGAGTATCACTGTAAGCGGTATTGTGGCCTCTGTCTGCAAGAGCTACCACACAAGCCTCACAGAGGCTCTGCTGGCAGTTCAGCTAAGTCATTAAGCTCACTGCAGCAGTGGTGCAGTGCAGTGTGACTTTTGGACACCTGAAGGCAGCCCCATCCTGGCAGTAGGATGCACAGTGCTGCAAGCAGTCATGCAGCGTGTAGTGGCGCTGAATCCACTGTATGGCAGGAATTATGTCTGCAGTGGCTGGGTGGTCAAACCCATTAGCTAATGTGCCTTAATTGCCACTATGGATTTGCTTTTAATGCCTTTTAAATCAATGATCAAGTGGACTCCTGGCTTCCTGAAAGTTCTGTGGCTGGACTGGAAACTCATCACATGGAGCCTGTTTCGGAAGTGATAATATAGCTCAGGGTCATGGCAGCTCATTACTTCTAAGTTTTGATACCCAGCCAAGATTTTAAGGTTCACTGACCTTGGCAATCAAACTCACTTTATAGAGCTGTCCTGCTTCCCTAAGAACTAGCAGCTTAATTCACTGTTTTAAAAAGAACCATTAATTTGGGAAAAGTTTATTTTGATCATGTCCCTCACATACAGGGAATATCCTCCTCTCTCCCAGGTGGTTTCCCCCCTCCTCCTGGGTTTCTGTGCCTGTGGTATTCTCAGCACCTGTAATCTTGCAAGCATTTGTAGGATATATGAATACCCTATTCCCCCCCCCCCCTTCTCATGTCCAGGCACTTTGAAAATTCCTCTTCTCAGGTATTCAGTAGCTCAGTGGTTCCAGCTAATGCTGTCCCAGGATTTAAGAAAGAAGCAAGCAGAGACAGGCTGGCTTTCTAATCCCTAAAGCAAGGAGCAACATTTAGAGAGCATTTTATTCAGAGCATTAAAGTTTTCTGGCCATAATCAAGGACTTGGGTGATTATGGTGCCTGTATATGGCTACTTCACTTTTTAGGGTAAATAAATCTCTGGAACAATCTCCACACAACCAACTTGGCAATCAGTTGCTTGACCCTTTCTGAAGTCAAAGGGAGTTTTTGTATGGACTGCAATAAGCCAAGGAATACTTTATTTGTCAGTCTCTTTAGGTGTAAAGCTTATTTTACTTTTTGACTTTGCTTTTAATTGGGACTGAATTGGTGGGTAACTGTTAATGAGTGAGGAGGTAACAGTATACAATCTGGCAGAGACACGTACACACAACCAGAGGAGGAGCTATTTTTAGATGCATTGTCAAATTGCACCTAAAAATATTAGAGTAGGCTTGGTTTGCAGTGTCTGCACAGTTAAAGAGTTTAAAGGCTACCACAAATTAAGTCAGAAACCAGCAGAGAAGCTAAGGAGCACTTGTCCTGTGTTTTACCAGCTCATCTATTTCCTTATTTAGAGTTCAATCCTGTCCTTTGCCTCATTGCAGATCCAATTCAGACTGATGGGAGGTGTAAATCACAGCAACCCAGCCTCCTCAGGAGCAGTATTCTCCTTTCCCTTCCTATTTTAAGCTTTGTGTGTCATTTGCAGTGGAAAATGGGATCTGAAAGATCAGAATTGTTAGTTTGTCACTGTTTGAATGCTGAAATGTGCTATGTTTCAATAAGAAAAGTTTCTTTACACACTGCACTGACAGTGCTACTGTAATGCAATGCAGAGATTGCTGAAACAGACACTTCTTTGGGAACTGGCTATCTTCCACTGGGGTCTGGCTTTCAAATGGATTCTCTGACCTATTAAGACAGTATTTAATTTCTCTGTGCTTCTAGCAGGTGTGTTGCCTAGGAGAAATATTAACACTACTGAACTTTGATGCAGGTGCCTTAGGGGTCTCAAAAACAGTTTTATGAGAGCTGTTTATATAGGGAATTATTGAGGGGGAATTCTAACTTCTGGATGGTCATTCTTAGCCCTCAGAGAACTCTGTGAGAACTGAAAAATGCATTCTGACTCTTCAGCTTGTGGAGTTGTGTGAGAAAAGATGTTACAGATGGTGGGCAGGAGCCTAAGCTTTAGAAGCGTCATTATTAACTTGGAAATCATGTCTCCAAAATGTGCTTATTGTGATTACTGCAGTTGTAGAGTTAATAACTGGGGTGAGAAGATTGGGGGGGGGGGGGGGGGGGGGGGAGCGGGGGGGCAAGTTATTTGATAGATTTGACAGCACTTTAAGTACTACTCAGTTTTGGTCTTTCTGTGCAAAAAGATTCTAATGAACATTCTTATAGGGAAGCAGAATTTTTGTAGTATTAAAAATAACTTTTCTCAACTTCAGGCTGCACTAGTGCAAAAATGTCAACATGAATATTACACAGGGTTTTTTCTGACAATTCACTTCTCCTGTTTTGAAGTTCCAGTCTTGGCTTCCAAGCCATCCTTCTGAAGTCTAATCTCAAGTGTGCTGTTTGTATCTTATGTTTGGGTTTTGCTGGCTCTGAAATCACTGCAGCCAACTGTGGCACACTGAGTTTTGGTATCAGATTGGGTGCTGTGTTTTCCATGCCTGGTTTTCGTCTTCGAAAGAAGGTAAAACCATGTTTGGCTTGATTGTCTACACTATGAATTTGTGAAGGGCCTTATGTTATGGGCAAGGTATGTCCACACTGGTCAGGGAAAGCGGAGGTAGTACTTAACTATCAAGAAGCTAGATTAATTATGTCTCTCTTGCACTGTTTTTCCTTGGTTCCAGTGTTACACCATTCACACTTCCATTCTGTGAGCGTTTTCTGGTACAGCTGTAATCATAGTTCAACTGTAGGTTGACAGGTGAGGACACTTACAATGAAGCTTAACTGTGTGATGTGGAAGTGCCCAAACCATGTTGATGTTGCTGTTGACCTGGAACCTATCTGTAAGAGCATTCTTAGGAAGATATGCTGTGTTTAAAATGCAGCTCATGCTGAAGCTGTGTTCAACAGCACTTCAAATATTTTTTGTCGTTGTGGGGTGTAGAGGTAAGAACAAGTGCCTTTTTGGTTGTGAACACACACTTCCAGTTGTGTCCACTAAGCTCCCAAAGAGCTTAGGCAGCAAGTGTGATAGTGGCAACCAAAGAGAGAAAGCAGGTGGGATCCCACCTCATCACACTGCTGTGCAGGCTTCCAGAGAGTCAGTGATTGACTGAAAATGTTACACCCAGGTGCTGTTAAAAATGGGATGCAATCCCAGCCCTGATGTGCCCCAGACTTCCGTGGGGTTCTCCAAAGAAGAGGACTGGAGAATCTGCTGGCTGGCAGAGCTCTCAGGGTGCCCAGCCAGCTGATTCAGCCAGGGTATCTATGGAGCTCAGTGCATGCACAGCAGTTGGAAATATTCAGTTCTGTAAACACCATGCTCATATGCTCAGGACTGAACGTGATTATCTTTCTCACCTCTGCAGTCTGTTTGTTGAATAGGTCATGATAAAGCTTTTGCCAATAATCTGTGTGTGAACCATATAGTATTGTTGGAATGAACTTTAGTCAGCCAATATGTGCTGACTACATACAACTAGAGGGCTACATGGAAAGCCTTCTAGACTTTTAATAATTATAAAGGGGCTGAGCTGGGTTTAGGAAGGGGAAGGCTGCAGTGTGCAGGGGGTATTTCAGTATAATTTTGATCAGAGTGGATTTTCTCATCATCTGCTTTTGGCATTTTATTTTGCCAAGAATGAAAGGGGAAAAGCAAAAAAGTGAAGTTTGAGTGCAGATATTTCATGAGCTGAGTGCTGATCATGGTTAAATCCACAGGTTCTAAGGGGATTCCTGTTTGGGAAGAGCAAAAATATCCAACCAAGTGCCGACCCTGCACTTTCAGAGAGATGTTTAGATTTTTGTCTTTCAGTAATACATTATGCAGCTGATTATATTAATATATGAGTCTGTATTTAAGCATAATATTAACAGCCTATTTGGCATAACAGTTGTATAAAAGCTACATAATCCTCATTTTAATTCCTTGTTTTGCCTAGCAATAAGGTTAAGGACCTCTGAGCATTGCTGTTTGAAGGTTAGTTATTTGGGAAAGTTTGAGTACCAGTGACTCATTCATTCCATACCTGACAGTTATTGCCTAATTGGTCTCTGGACCACTTGTGAAGAGAAAACTTTAGGTGATCACGTGGGACAATACTGTATTACAAGAAACAGTGGGAGGTGAGGCCACAGGCAGTAGCAATAAGAGTTTTCTATAGGAAACTCAGTTGGATTCACTTTTATTCAGTGTTACTTTGTTTTCTAAAATGATACATGTCCTCACCTTTGCTCTAGATTGCTTTTCATGTAATTTCACTCTGTTTTTTAATACCTGTGACTTTTATATTGCTTTCATAGTGAGTGAAGCCCATGTAACATCGATCAGGTATATTAGCATGAAAAAGAAAGAAAATAAGATGTTCCACAACAATGGTGTGGGGGAGGGAGCATCTGTGCTTAAGAGACAGAAAAAGAAGCAAGCAGTGTGCTGTCAGTACCTGTGAGTAGTCTGTCAGGAGGATAAGTCCTTTCACCACGTTAATGAGATCTCCAGTTGCTGAGAACATTTTAGACATTAAATCACCGTACCCTTGGAAAAATGTAACTGGCCTAAGCTGGACATCGAACAGAATGGCTGACATGCCAGCATAGGAGTCCAGGTTTTCCTCGCCTTCATCAGGAGTTGCAGCTATTATGGACTCCAGACCTTGAGCTTCAATCACCACCTAAGAAGCAATAGTGATACAGAATCACTGAAAAACTCTTCCTCATCCAAGCTGTTAACAACCCTACACGTTTTCTTAATGTCTATGAGCCTGACTCAATTTTATGTAGTTGTAGATTAAACAGTATGAGGCTAAGACTTAAAGGAACTAAGTAAAGCAGTTAGAAAAATGGAAAATGGAATAATCTCATGGCATGTTTCTTCCCTTTAGATGCAGGCAGAATTATTTGCCCACAATGCAGATCACAGTCTCGAGCCTACTTTCAAACAGATTTTCCTTTTTCTGTATGACTGTTTCCCAAAGACAGCTGGAAGGAAAACCCAAAGATGTTCCACTGCACAACTTTTGTCCTGCAGAAATTTAGGAGCATTATAATATTGGAGATACTAGGCAACATTAAGAAAAATCCAAAATAGATTAATCTCATTTAAATCTCTGATTCATGCATTTGATCTACTCCTTGTATTTCTATTCTGTGTTATACCCAAACAAACTCCCAAAGCTTTTACTGATTATATCAGGTTAACAGTACAGGCTTTAACCAGAGACAGAACTTGATACATGTTACAGAACAAAACACCTGTCTTTTCGTATATGTGAACATGTGCCTTATTGGCTGTTCCGAGTTTCTTTTTCCCCTGTTACTGGCTTGTTCTCTGCCAAGTGCAGCAAACTTAAACATTAGTTGAATTGATCTAGAAACTGGAAGAAGAGGCCCACATACTGGTAGAGTTTTCATGTACAGTGTGGCAGTTACCTGGATGGCATGAAGTTCAGCATTTCTGTCAAAAATTCGGATGTTCATGTTACTTCTCCTTAAAATGCCAGAGCCTGAATAGAGGATGTCAAGACTGTATGTAGATGACACATCTGGACCACCTTAATTAAAAAAAGGAAGAAGGTACCTGTGACTAAACTAGTGGATTAATCAAGTGTTTGGGAATATGAGCAGGGCTAAAAGGCAGTTTTGTGGTTACATACGTGTAATATAGCCAGAGTAGGCAGAGGAAGAGCCTGTCTTGGCGAAGCGATCGTAGTTATGAGTACGCATGTCCTTCAGAACTTGCCGAATTGTTTTGCTGTGGTATTTCAAAACAAACAAACAAACGAAAACACAGAGACACAAAAACGTTGCAGTACCGAAGTATTACTGTTCTGTAGAAATTCCAGATTTGAGAGAGGCTGAAGTTCCCAATAGGAAAGAAGGTCTTCAAAACCCTCACATTTTCACACTAAAAATCTGCCCTAACCCAGAGTATCTTTTCCAATTGAGCTACTCTCTGCAGTCATAGACAGAAAGGCAAGCAAAGGTCTTGCTTGAAAAATCAGTGGTGTTGAGAAGAAGAGACATTTTGACCATTTTCACCAGGGCTGTGATGTTCAGAATTTTCTGAGCCCCACTGAAAGAATTAAGACCAACAGATGACATCTCTTGCCATAATGCAAGTTAGATGCCTAATTCTTATTTGCACCTCTGAAAATGCAAATAGCTATTCAATTAATGTCATTGAAATGCAGATATTTATTCTAAAATATCAATACTTTTAAGTGACACAAAAATGAAGCATCCTTTTATCCTCTCCTTAAATTTTACAGTAGAAATTCATGAGAACCTGTGTGTTCTTTGGGTTTCTGTACAGAAATTAGGATGACCTGAATTTATTTATACTGAACTTAATGTACCTTGAAGGCATTTCAAAGTGAAGTATATCTTGGATCATGGAGAGCATGTACTTGTTCATTTCCAGAGGCAGTTCACCAATGGAGAGCAGGATGTTTTTCACTTCCATGTAGGATGGGTTACTGTTTAAGATGATAGCAGCTGCAGTGGTTCTCACTGTCTTTTCATGGACTCTGCGATTCTGGTGATATATCCTGTTCATTGTTTCCTTCACCTGGTCAGGAAACAGATTATTCAATCAGTGCTCACACAGATGACTGAGCAAAGTACAGACTGGAATCTTGTTTATAATATCAGCTCAAGCTAGCTCCATAGCTAAGGCTAATACTTAAGAATATATTTTCAGCACCCTGTTTTTTCATGGTCCTTTTGGAATGTAAGAGCCGTGTAGTTCAGTGACCACATGGGCAAGTGGGGCATTTGTTATGTTTTCTCAGCCACAGTCCAAGTGCAGCCTTCCACACTGATTTCCACAGCAGGGCTGTAAATAAGTAGAAGCACTAATATCAAAATACTGTAGCAGTGGTAAGATCAAGAGAGAGATTTGACTGTTAACAGACAATGTAGTTTAAAAAAGTGAAGAATCTTGCAATATTAATTTTCTCAGTTGTGCCTCTGGTGGCCGCATGTCCCTGAGAAGTTGTGACGCATCTTTGTTACAGATAAATCCATAGAAAGCCAGGTAGCCCCACTGACAGAACAGCCTCTAGCATGTTCACTGCACAGCAGCACCCTGACAACCTCACTCACAGCTGCCAGCAGCAGCTATGGAATGGGATGCAGGGTAATGCCACAGAGGCAGGTCCTCATGTTCCGCTATTTCTTCCCTTACTCTTGGAGGCTACAAGGTAAGACGTAGAGTCCTTACTTCATGCATTCTGCTTGGATATGCAAGTGCCCAAATGTTCCTAATATCTCCTGCACATCACAGAGAAGGCAGTGCTCTTGTGAAAGAACAGTTCTCCCTGCAGACTGCCTGCCACCTTCAATGGCTGTGTGTGGGTCTGGAACCAAAGGCTGAATAGCACTGGCAGACTGGGAGCTGGGATTTGGCAACCAGGAATGTATAGAGTTTTCTGGCTGGAACTAGAGCTAAACTAAGAAATAATTTCCTGGAGGTAAAAGTAAAACATGTGGAGCATCTTTGAAAAGAGTGGGACTGACAAATGAACTCTGTTAATTTATGCTTTATCTTTAATCCAGTCTCTTGCACTTCTTTTCTTGGGCAGTATATTTTCTTACCTCTTTGGTGAGAAAAGAAGGATCATATCTCTGCAAGGCAGTGGCAGCAAGATTGCTGATGGGCCCTTCTGACTCGGCATACTTCAGAAGCAGTGGAATTGCTTCGGGAAGGAGTGCATTCTTCAGTGCCAGCAGGAACATCCTCACATTGTCATCTTTCTTAGCCTTCTCCAGTCTATTTAGAATCATCCTTTTGGCTTCCACAACAGCCTAAAGAAAGCCAACAGCATCTTTAAATGGTGATCATAAAACTATCTTTTTCCCTTGCAGAAGTAGGAGGAGCAGGGCTGGGTTCTAGCATGTTTTAGGTCCAAAGCACCATTGCACAGTTAGCAAAAGTGTAATTTGCAAACTGTATGTGGATGGCTTCCTTCAGCATAAACAAAGTGGCTATATCCATGGTGACACCTGATCTATAGGTTTATCATTTGCTAGCTGCTCTTCCTCTGACCCAGATCTTACTTGTGGGGTCAACATGTCCCCACAAAAAAATGCAAGAAAAGTGTTCATTAGTGCTTCATAACATAATGTTGTAAGAGCACTTGGCAATTAACAGGGGAAGGAAAAATGGACTCCTTAGAGGCATTCAGGTGCTCTGTGTCTTTCCAGCAGTGTGCTGCAATCCCAAACAGCACAGATCTAGCAGGTAGCAGTGCCTTGTCTGATCCCCGGCATCTACTCAATCCATGGTCAAGGTTATAGCCTTCCTCCTTGGTTCTTCTATGCATGTTTGGGGTAGAGTTGAGTACTTGAACCAATGTTTCTTCTTCACAGAGCTGAAATAACCTAGATGATTGCAAATATTAAAGAGGTCCTGAGTTTGCCAGTGTTTCTCTGAGGACATGCAAAGCTTTTGGACAAAGAAGCAAAAGCATTGCTTCTGCTGACAGAGTAGGCAGTGACAAAAAGTTCTGTCAAACAAGGGCAAACTGGGAGAAATGGGAAGACACCAGAATAAAGCCTAAAGCTGATAAAATCAATGTCATTATTAAAAAAAACAAATCAAAATGAACCTCAAATCAAACAAATAAACAAATCCCTAACCCTTTATCTGTCAAACATAGGGTTTTATGGGCTTATTTTAAAACAGGGGGAATATGCTTCCCGTGTCTCTCATGCTCTCCCAGTAACATCAGCAGGGATAATTTACATGCATTGCAGAGCAGAATTTGGCCAGCTTTGAACAGCAGATACTCACTGGAAGCTTGCAGCCTTCTCTGTCACACAGCTTCCTGATGAGTGCTCCCATGACAGTGACAAGAGTTTCTCTTATTTCTTCATTTGCAATATCCTCCTTGAACTTAGCCTGTTATGCAAAAGCAATGCTGTGAGTCTCTCTGAATACGATGAACCACAGTCTGTAGTGGGCTGAATAACCTCCCTCACTTCCTGTGAACATCAGTGCAATGCAAAGGCAGGGATGACTACAAGGGCCCGGGCTCAGGCTAAGCAGAGCACTGCTCTATCATTACACATAATAACTGACTGCCATTTTCTTCTTGAGTTACAAATAGATTCATTTTGAAGCTGTGTTTAAAAATAAAGAGTATTAAATGGTTACAAGCCTTTAAGATTGCAACAATCAAACAATCCTCAAATAGTTTTGCTAAGTCAGAATCATGTTTGTTTTCCAAGTAATAGATATTGATAACATTTTACAGAGTAAATAGACTTGCAGGCTGGACTTATGCATTTTTGTTGTTTCCAGGCTTTATGCTACTGGCACACTTGAAGTTAACTCTGAAAAGCAAAAGGAAAGGAAAACTGGAAACAGGAACAGTCATTTCTTTTTCCCATCCCCTTTGACAGGGATAAGGCTCAAGAGTATTAACTGCATTGTATTTGTTTTATGCTTTGACTTACAGTTAAAGATTTCAGGAGCGTTTCAGTGGGGTGAGAAGCAAATCCACAAGCATACAGGAATCGCTCCTGCAGGAGAGAAGTGCTTTCATCCTTAAAGTCAAGAAACTCCAGTATGGCTTCCAGTGATTCTGGGGTCTGAGCAGAGGTTACGGCATCCACTATCTGCGGGCTACACAGAAGTGGAAATGAAGATACCATTGTAATGAGCTAAAGAATACTGAAAAGACTTTGCTTCGTATAGAAAGAAAGAAGCTAATGTCCTGAAAGATCTCTTTAGTGCAGGTAAGAGACAGAATTTTTTACTCTTGTTGGAAAAAAACTGTATCCCTGAATTCTTCCTCCTCAAAATGGTAAATGTACTCCAGAAATTGTTCATATCCATGGATGCTAATATTTGAATGTATGCAAATATGGGATAAAGAAAGTATTAAAAACCCCAGAACTATCCAGGGTGTCTTAAAGTTTAGAGAACAAGGTTGAAAATGGAAAAGAGTGTTTTATTTCTACATACACAGTGACAATTAGAGAGCAGGCTTCGACACTATCTGAGTTACTCTCAGGTTTATCTCCGTTATTAACAACTGCTATAATTTGAAAGATACTGACTGTATGGTGGGATACTCGGAAATGCTTTCCAACCCCCAAGCCTAGGTGCATATGCTGCTCACACCCAAACTCTAATATTAGGACAATAACGAGGCATGAACTGGTTGGCTGTATTTCCATTTGAAGGAAACAAATGGGCAAGTCAAGAACAAGTTACAGAGTGTTTCAGAACAAGCAGTCAGGATGAGAACTTTCGGGTAAACTACAAAGCATGTTCGCTGTGTATTGTAGATACAATCTACAGATACAGATATTGTATCTGTAGATATTTGCAGCACACTGCTCATATTATAGCACAGGAACAAGCACAGCTTAAGAAAAAAATCCTGTTCCTGTACACAATACTGAATACTGGGTTTGCATTGCTAGGACATCACCAGTATAATTGAATCTCTTTGCATGCAATTTGTCCTTCTGCAGTTTTCAGTAACTTAAACCTTTTGAAAGCTTGCTCATAATGACTTACAGAAGTTCTTTGTTTTCACTTCTAATAACTTGCAGTATCTCCTCTTTCGTAGCTTTTCTGATGTTCTGAATGAAGGACAAAAAGCTTTTAGCTGCTTCAGCTTTGGAGAGTTTTTCAGGATACATTTGTTCTCTGATGCTCTTCCAGTGTTCAGAAAGCTGCAAAATAATTCACATTATATCAAGTTTCTTAGATTGTGGTTTCAGTTCTCAAAATCAGAATTACTAAATGCAGATATGTGGGCCAGCTATTGCTCAAATTAGCTGAAATTCAATAGCTTGCTCATCCTTTAGCTAAGTATTATTTATGATACCTCAGCACAAATATTTTTGAAACCTTTCTATAGCTTTCACTCTTCACACACTTTAGTATTTTCCTGATAACATACATTGCCTTAAATGCAACCTACTTTGGAACAAAACCTGATTATTTATACTGCAACTACAATAAGGTGAATTATCTTCTCTTGAAAATTTACTGTGCTTTCTGGTGAATACAGTGTTTGCCTTCCATTTCCATTTTCTCCTACAGAATGTTTTTTAGATTGGGAGATGCACAATTCCCAATTCACAAAGTAATCATATTTTCTTAGAAGATGGTAATTTTTAAGTGGTTACTATGGAACAGGAATAAATGTCCCGCAAGTACTTCCCATTTTTCATTCATAAACCTGCATAAGATGGGGAGAGATTTGTGGTTATTATACGAAATGATAGGTAAGATGGCATTAGAACAGGTATTGGCCTCATCATATGTTGCTGCTATATTTATTCCATGCACCACATTTTTGACCTGAATGAGCCAATATGGTACCAAAGCACCTATATGTTCTTCCAGACACAGTCCCATAAGAAACCAGTGCAGGTATTTTGACCTTTCCTCTCTCACTTGCCTTTGCCGCTGTTATCTCAAATTATCAAGAACATTCCTTGGTGAAAACTCAGCTGTTCTTTGCAGCATTTTTTACTGCAGTTTTCCCAAGTGGGAAATAACACTAACAGCCATTTGACCTTTATGAAAATACTTCCTCTCTTCAAGGGTTTTGTATTAGGCAATGGCACTTGAACCTGCCCACAAATAGAAGTATCATTCAGCAGTACAGAGTGCAACTTCCATCAACTGTAACAAACAATAATTAGGCAACAATGATTGAGACATAGGATATTTCCTGAGGATTAATGACCAGCTGGGAGGAGCTCCTGTTCTGAGGCACAGATGGGCCTGTTAACCTCAACTGGTGATTAATACTTAGCACCAAGGTCAGTGTGGCTATTATAAGCTGAAATTGGATAAACATGGAGGGGGGGGGCACTTTCTATTCCCCATGTTGAAGTTGCACCATAGCCCAGCAAAAAATCTGTAACCTCACTGATCCTATATTTCCTCCTGTGCAGAGCCCAGCTGTGTGGGCTCCTCTGAGTCAGCTTAGCCCGTACCCTAGAGACACCAAGGTGGGAGATGTGAGTTGAAGCCATCTCAAGCAAAAGAGAGTGAAGGTCAAGTCTTCCTCTTTGGGAGGGGTGCTGTAGCCATTCATCGGCCACAAGGAGCAGCAGCCATCTCCTGCAGTAACCATGATTTTAAAAAACAGCATTCACAACTGACTTTTGCAAGGAGCCTCATTCTGCTGATGTGAATGTCAGGCAGTGTGGATTGAATACCCCAAAGATTCAGGGACAGATGCATGCACTTCCACATGGGAACTCAGCTGAGCTCGGACAAAAATCTCTGTCAGGAACAGAGGGGTCAGACCAGAGGTTTTGTGGATACTCCAGGAAAATTCAAGACAAAACAAGAGATCCTAAACTAAGCAGGACTTGGTTTTGAATGTCAGTACCTGACAGCTGCTTTACAAACCTACAAAGGCTGGCTGCACAAGACAGAACAAACCCACCTTATTTTGGGGCAAGCATCCGTTCTCGCAGGAACCAGGAGCACAAAAAAATGTAACAATCATGAGCTCGTGTGAAAAGAGCACACTTTATGATGTCTGAACACAGAAATCTGGGCCTAAATTTAAATGTAAATGTTGGCCGTAACATCACATAAGCTAATGCTGCCGTCTGTGAAGTGGGAACAGTAATGGTTATTTTACCAAATTCAGAAAGATAGACATAAGACCTGTTATGATTTTAAAAGGGTTTTGAAAACATAAAACTCTTAGCATACCATGTCAGCATGGCATTAATGTATACCATGATATATAAGTACCAAATGTTATGTTGCTGCTTTGGATACAGTGTTCTGTTTATAGATGCCATCTTTTCATAGCAGCTACTGTAAAATACAGTGAGAAAGCAGGACTTCATTCTCATCATGCCATTAGGTTTATAATGGTATAGCTCAGTCCCCAGGCAGTGCTCTGGAATTATACCCTATGTTTGTTATCTTGGTCTGGAAATTATAACTATTATGACAAACTTGGTTCCAAGTGACAAATTGGTCAGCACAATCCTCGATGGACAGAGTCAGGGAAAAAGCACCTGTCCCTGCTCTTTTAAGATCCCTTGATGTTCCCTGCTCAGAACTGTTCCAGCACGCATGCAGCGTCATTTCTATTTCATTTCCCCCAACACATGTTTTTTATCTTCTCTGCAGCTCAACAAGCATCAGACAACATAAATTATCAGGGTGCAATGCTACTTCCTAATAACTAGCACAAGTTCCAGTATGGTAAGGTATTTGTGCTCATAAGGAGTATCTCCAGAGGGTTAAAATTATGTGTGCTAAACAGAAGCCTTATCTTGCTTATCAAAAACTGATAGAGAATAATAATCTTTAAATTGATGTTCCCATCCACTGCTAAATTCATTCCACAATATCATTAAAACTGTTTGCTAACAATCACTGTGGCAATTTATATTAATTTATGATGCATAGCATCAGTAAAACAAAAGATGATGCATTTATGGTACCAAGCCATTGGTAGTCTTTAGATGTCTTAAATATAGAACCCAAGTTCTTGTTTGTTTGTTTTTTCTCCAGGGGAAAAATGAGAACAGTATTGGACTTGCCAAGAGTACTAAAGCCCTATTTTATATTTATAAAACAGCTATAAAGTCTTTTAAATAAATTACTTTCTTCACGGTTGGGCAGTAAGAAGAGACTAGATATATTACCAATAAATAATTAGCCTGCCTAAGGAATGTCTAACTAGCTTTAATTTCTAGGAGCAGTTCAGCTCCTCCATGACAGAATTGTTCCTAAACACTGGCCAACTATGTTAAAAGTAATTTATCACTACATTTCCCAGAGGAAATTAGCTCCTGCTAACTCAAAGTCAGAGAAGATGAGATAAAGCAAAAGGGTGGCGTATTTTCTAGTGGTCTTGAGAAATACTGCACTTAATCTTTGAAAGAGAACAAAAAGGTTGGTACTTTTAGAGGCTGACCTTAAAACACCCTTGTGTGGTGGAGCACTATTGCATCACTTCTGTGCTCCCCACTCCTGGGTATATTTTATATTGCTTTGTTAGACCTCTGCTAGTGGGCTGTTTGGACAGAAAGTTCTTTCACACTTGTTCTGCTCAGCCAACCAATTTGACGTCCAACAAGCTTGTGTTTACTTACTGAAGGACACTTTTTGCATTTGGATTTGACTGGCTCTGCTACCAGTGACACAGCAACGTAACTGGAGTCCAAGGTCTTGATAACACCTGCCACTTGCTTCCCAGCGATCAGTCCAGGCCCAGCTTCTACTGACTTCAGTTCCAGTCTCTGCCTGTGTATCCATACAGTGAAGACACCATTAGAACTTAACCGTTAGAGCAGAAATGCAGAATCATGGCAAGAGGAAACAAAAAATCCCTCCACAGGCCAAAAACATACAACACAGATTTAATAAAGTTTTATCTTAAATGGTTAGAACGTGGCAAGTCCATGGCTTTTTTAAGGTAGCAGAAGTATCTGATACCAGCAGAATTACTGTGAGAGGTATATGGCATAAATTACCTAACAACAGACTTTACAAGTATGGATTTATAGCACCTGATAAACAACCATATGCATTCTGAAATGTTTCATGTATTTGTTCATAAGAAGATCTGGAAAGTGAGAGTCTGAATGTACATTTTTTAATATCATAATACTAAGAAGATACCTGAATCATTTATCTTGCATGAGTATCTCCAAACTTCCAGAGTGTTGGAGTGTGGAGCCTAACACAGATTTAGGTTTCACTGTTGTTTCCTTTTTTATGCAGATTGATTTTGTTTTCTATACTTCTGAACTTTCACATGCTAGAAATAGGGAACCATTGGAAGTATTTCTTAAGAAATGAGAGGATGTAGAAACAGAACACATGCAGAAGTACTGTCTTGCCTAAAATGTTTTGGCCAATTCCAGCTGTTTTCATTTAATTTCTTACAAATGCCATTATTTCTTATTGCAGTATGGTATAGCCCTCAATCAAAGTTGAACCTGGTACCATATGGATACAAAAGAGGCCTAAATCCTTACCTGGAGAGTTTACAGGTTTAGATCTTGATGCTATAAGACCTGCATATATAACCTGACTAGAACCACAACATCCTACTACTATCAGTGCCAGTCAAATTGCCCAACTTACTTTGACACTATTTTGGCACCTGTTTTTCGTCGAGAATTCAGAGCCAAAGCATAATTTTCTTCTGCTTTAATGGATTTAAAGAAACTGTCTTCCAGCACATAAATTGTGGCAGATGTGGCTTTTGTACTGACATCTAAAATCTGAAAATAATGAGAAAATAAACCAGGAAAAGGGCTGATCAGTAAACAACAGAATAGGAAAACAGCTCACAGTTCCAAATCCGGGCAAAACTTGAAATTCAATACAGCCTAATGAGGAAGGTGCATGTGGGTTGACAACATCTCAAGTTAAGCCTATATACCAGGTTGTCAAGAAGCTGCTCACTTCTAGAAGAAGCTGCTCACTTCTGCACTACGTGTTTCAAATTCAGTATGTGCTGGGAGGGGACAGGGGGAAAGAGAGGAGGGGAGAAAGTAATGGAGCAGGCTGCAAATAAGAACATCTTAAATGAGATAAAAAGCTTTTCCAAGGGAATGTCTTGTAAATAAGATTGTCATGTTCACACGGGGGAAGCAAAGCCAGCCACCTTGCTTGATCTGTTTGTAAACAAAGTGAAGTCTTTGTGGCAAATGTGAAAATCAGGAATTCAGTCATAGTGTTAAGGCAGTTTATTAAGAGAGGACATGCTACCTTTGTACTTCTCTGAGCCGAGGAAGGTCAGTTTCTGATGCAGAGAATCTCAGTGCCTTCAGCACCTGTCCAGCTGGCATTCAGTAGTAACTGGTTAGAAAGGAGTTTACTAGTAGCGGAGGACCATTAAGGCCATAGAAGGGCTTCAGTTACCTGTATTGCACATCTACATTACACCTGTGAATTAGGGAAGCCTCTGATCTTCCAGACAAACCTGAGAGGGCTCCATTCAGGAGTCAGCATCTTGCCTGGCATTTATTGTGTAGACTAAATACTGTGACTTAGCAACTGGGAGAAAGATTACTCTTTTCACTATGACTGTGACTGTACCTAGTGTTTTCCCCCAAAGGAAATGAAGCCTCATATCAATTAAAACTTGACTACAGTCAGCACAAAAGTGCCGTAAATCTTCATAGAAACTAAAATATGTTATAGATGAGAGCAAAGAAATTATGTGAATTTGCATGCTGTACTTAATGTCAGCTGAGCCAAGGTGTTTTACACAAAACCATTTGAATCCATTCAAGAGAGGAGAATCCATCCCCTGTTCTCCCCATTGGTACTACCTATGAAATTTGTTCTAGTAATACTACTAGATGCACATGTAGAATTTGAACTAGAACTTTTGAGAAAATGAGTAATAGCTACTAAAATATATTTTAAATAGGCAGAACGGATTTTATTTTGTTAAAGAAATCATACCCGGTTGTGGCTGGTAAATCCTTGTTTTTCTATTTCACAGGAGGCAAGGTCTTTTATTTTAGTCACTTGATCTTGCCTCACATGGTAAGTAGTATTGCACTTCCCAGATATGTCCACCTTGGAGAAAAAAGAGTCAGATTACAATAATTTCTTGAATTTACCTTTTGGACCTTCTAAAGATGAACAATTTTCTCCACTGTTGGAATCCTGCACCAGAGATGCTGCACTGTTTGAGTTTATCAGTTACAGTGACCTAGTTTAAGTTGGTTTATTACCAAATTCTGCTAAACTGACAAAAGAATTGAAAATGGATTTTCACCGATTCTTTACGTTAAGTGCAGCAATGTGACTTGTGTCACCAAATATTCAGAAGACTGTCTTTACATCCCCAACCTCAAATCCAGTCAAAGAGCTGATTTCTGTCACATGCCTTCTGAAGTTACCAGGAACCACAGGTCTGTCTTTCAGAGCAGATTGGGCTCTGCCTTTTTCTTTGATGATGGTTATCTTGCCACATTTAGCACCATACCTCATGGGCAGGACCAGAGTGCAGCTGCAGCTGGAAAAGGCTTGCCAGACCTCTCTTAATATTTTGAGTAAAAGCAGGTTCATTTTCATATGAGTAGAAGTTTTTGACCTGTAGGAATAAAATCCAAGTATATTACAAATTTGGTTAAATGAGAAAGTAATAGTGAGGATCCTTTCTAGAAAAACTCCCTTTAGTTTTTTTTTTTCTGATTGGGAAGCTGAATTTGGACCCATTGCCCTTATTTAAACAAATTCCAGGGGCTGCAAGGCCTGGCAATAACAGTACAAACATATTTAGGGCTTCAGCTGTACCTAAGTACAGTTTCCTCATGTTAATTAGAGATAATTGAGAAGGTAAATGGGAAACTTCACATAATTGCACAAGTGACTCATTTTTCTACATGCTCTTCAGATAATCCTTCCTCACAGGGGCATAATATCTATTGCACTTTAGTCACAGATTACAAAAACCCAGAATGAATCACAGGTAAATTACAGTTAGAATGGCTTAAATGACGTGTCAAATGCATCACAACCTTTGCACTTCCATGGGTCACCTGTTGTGCTTGAGCCTTTCCTATGGTAAGAAGACTTTGCACCTCCACTTTGCATTCAAGGTGCTTTAAAAGTGCTCTGTTTTTTTCAAGAACTGTAAGTACAATCAGTGTGTTATCTCAGGGTAATCCTGGAAAGTGAAATCACCATGCCAGGGATGAAAGTATCATACCACAGAGAAATCATAAAAGGAATGCACAGATACTTTTACCAGAGAAAAAGCACAAGTTTTTAATACTGTATCTCAATCTTAGTCTAGTGTGAATTGCTTAGTGTATTAGGAACAGATGTATTTTGACTGTGGTGTTCTGATGCCTCTGTTCTCATTTAGGGATGAGTACTGTTGGGAGCCAGTGCTGTCCTGTTTCTTTTTATGTTGTGTAAAATTGATGACAAGGTTGAGTCTGAAAGTTACTGAGCAGGCCTGATAGCAGCTGCAATTCAGTAGGCTGAGCTGGTGGCCAGGGTATGTGCTCAGTGCCTATTTACAGCAGGAGGTAAAGACGCTGTGGGATAGGATGTCACAGCCCTCACTCTGCTCTGCAGAAGAGAAGAGGGAGTGTGACCTTCAACCTTCCTCCTTTTCTCAGTGCTCCTCTACCCACGTCCCACCTGCTGAGAATTGCTTGGGCTGCAGAGGAGAAAACACGGCTGTTGGCCTAACAACAAGCAATGAGAGGGGGAAGGAGCATAGAGAGGAGGCAGGAGCAGCCATGGCTCAAGCCTTGCCACCACCTGGCCAGAGCAGTAGGCTAAGTGCAAGGGGACAAGTCAGCAGCTCCACAGGGAAAAAAAGGGGGAAATGTATTTACTTCTGAGTGAAACTGGGACTGTGTGAGCTGCAACTGAACATGGGGATGGTGCTTCAGTGATTTGTCAGGGAAGGCTGCAAAACCCAGACACCCACTGAAACACACCTCCTCAGTGTCCCTTCTCTTCTGAATTTTGAAGACAGTTTCCCAGTGGAGGAGCAACATGAAAAGCCATCATTCTTTTAGCATCAAGCTCATTAACTCAGGACTGTTGAAACTGCAGCTGACACTGAAGTAAGTAATCAAGCCAGAGAGGTGGGAAAAGCTAGCATTCTAAAATATTTGATAAGGGTTTAAAGTGATTAACACTGTTCCTCACAGACTCAGTATAACCTCCCTCATCACAAACTGTATCTCCTTTTCTGCCTTCAGAGCTTGGATAAAATCCTGGCCTCACTGGAGTCAACAGCACGTGTCTTACATAGCAACTATGCATGTATCTATATGTGTACCCCCATATTTGTGGCTGTTTACTTCCATAATGTATGGTGTTCTCAGTGCACAAGAGGCTTGGGCTGGAAGGGCCCCTTGTACAGGTGAATTACAGTCTATTCTAAACTATAGTGTTTCATTTGCTATGAGAATGGTGAGATACTGGAACAGGTTGCCCAGAGAAGTTTGTCAATGCCCCATCCTTGGAAGTGTTCAAGGCCAGGCTGGAAGGGGCTTTGAGCAACCTGGTCTAGTGGGAGGTGTCCCTGCCCCTAGCAGGTTGGAACTAGATGAGCTTTAAGGTCCCTTCCAACCCCAAACATTCTACATAGAATGATAAGACACTACGGCATATTAAGAACACTGAAAGGATAGTGAATTCTCCAAGCCTGTAAGAAAAGATTTGTCTCAGATTTCCTTAGGGATTGAATTTTAAAAGACAGGGTCTTACTTTTCCACGGACAAGCTCAAGAACCATAGGCCTCTGTAAAGCTTGCAGATATTCTTTCCCAATGATCTTCTCCGTGTTTTTTCCTTTGAAGATGTTTTTAGCAGCTGGACGTTCATTCACATTTTCAACTTGAACATCTTTTATCTAGCAAAGTAAAAGCAGAGAAAATATGTGTAGAGAGCAGCCTAGCATTGGCCTGGGGTAAGCTAAATCACTTAATACATCTTTTTTGGTTTTCATTTCTGGTTCTGATCATTAACCTTGCATTATTACTATGTATATGTTTTCAAAAGAAACCAGCACTTACCACTGGGGAAATTAGTGGCAGAAAAATTCACCATAAAACTAAGTACCAAACCCAGTTTGTATTTAGCAAATGTCATGATTTTCAGCTAGAACTGAGAATTTCAGATAACCTATTGTCCCTCGGTAGGTGCTTGCACATCAGTTGTTTGAAACTGTAGAAGCTGTATGAAGCCACTTCAAAATACAGGAGATATTCTGAAGTTCTGGCTTATGATGTTAGGTATTTTCTTGTGAGTCTTATTCTATATGAATCAGCTTATTGAAGAAACTGGTTGTAGGTGATAAGAAGAATAAAATGTTTAGCTCATCTTCTGAAAATGAGTTCTTCAAGATTAGATTTGCAGTTAGATAAATGGGCATGATTTAAGTTGTCTAATGGCATTCATTACCGTAACTTTGACCAACTGGTCATCATCATTCTCTGGGTTTCTCCATAAGAGATTGACATCCACACCAGAAGAAAGACAGTATCCTGCACTTTTCTGCAGTGATGCTTTCACACGATCAACATACACTTCAGTTGAGTAAGAAAATTTATATAGCTTGTCATTATTTAAGCTTGGTCCAGTAGTGTGCCCTGTTCAGGAAGCAAAAACAGTGTTTCAGAATTGACTGACTCACATAATCTGTTATTTTCTCTAAGAAACAGCTTTAGAAAAATGAAAAAATTAGTTGCCAACAAAAAATTTATGGGACTGAACCTGCTACCCTTAACCACAGAGGCTTGTCCCACTGGAGCAGCAGGGGGATTTTCATGATTAAGTTTACACTAATCCCATATATTTAAGATAAGAACGAACAGAAAATCCTTTGTTCTATCTCTACACTTATATAAATAAAAGAAAATTCTTTACTTCAGATATACTAGAGTTAGAAATTGATCCAAAATTATCTGCAGCTCCAAATACTGTAACTAATCATGCAATTTGTGTGCTTAGCAATTTGAAATGCACTAATGTAATCTGTTGGAGCCAACAGAAATTGCTCTCTGCATCTATTTCACATTTATTGGCAATCTTTCCATTGAGTTTTACTTGGGGGAGATAGGAATGTAATGAAGATATTGGGAAAATATTTTTAGATTAAGTAATTAAGCCCTTGTTCTTTAAACTAAAGAATTGTCCCTTTAGCTGTGCTTCTGCTGCTAACTGATGTATTTAAGGGATATAAAAGCCAAATTCTAGCATAAATGCAATTTGCATACACAATTTATGGTGCCATTTCCATCTGCATTAACAACTCAGACTGTTCCTTAGGGATTCAGTTGCACTCTTGTTACTGTAAATGAAATCTGTAGTATACAAATTACTTATATTTTTCCTTCATCAAACTGCTTACTACCACACTATTTCCTATCTTCTCTTTCTTTTGCCTCATGCACAGCCACGTGGGGAATGTGTGGCACCAGTGTCACAACTCTACCCAGCCTCAGGCACAGGAATTAAGACCGTGCCCCTAAAATCTTTGTTTAAGGAAAATCAATTTCTTCTTGAATACCCTTCAAATATTTTGTCATGAAGAGTATACATAACATCCCTTTTCACTCCTTTCAAGGGCTTCCCTCCGCTGGTGTGGATGGCTACAAAGGTCTCTTCCAGATATGAAAAACTGGCGAAGTGAGTAGAGGGAAGGAAAAAGAGGAGAGGCTGGCTGAACACAAAGTGCTCTTACATCCACAAAGCAAATACACATACGGTGACCTTAGGTGCTATCTGTAAGCAGCACGGCACTAGCCTCTCAGTCCCAAATGCTGAACCACTGAATCCATTGGGAATTTCTTCACGGAGTTCAGAAAGTACAGAGCAGAAATGATAACAGAGTTAATCTAAGAAAAGCAAAGTGCTGTCCTCAAGGAGATGCATCTCAGTCTTATGACAAGTGCAGGGAAAAAATATAATCTATCGAAATATCTCAAGACAAATTCTTAAGCATGCTGTAATGTAATCAGTGTGTTTAAAGTCCCTTGCAGAGAATCAGCAGCCTATCTTGATTTATGCCGTGTCCCTTAGTGTTTTATTTGACTCTGCTAAATAAATTACAAATCACTGTATTGGTAAAAAAGAAAATCAAAGCCTTATTTCACTCTCAGATTTTAAATCCCAATTAGGTAGGTATAGTGCATAGTATAGTTCCATCATGGCTGGATGGATATATTCTGCAGTCTTCCAAGGGTCCAAAACCCCCTTTCTTAAGGTTTCGTTTGCTTTCTTCCCCTGTTCATAGCAGTAGATGAAGGTCAGCTTTATAGAACCTTTCCCTGATGAAAATGGTCACCCCACCATGTTTGGTCTGTAAATTGCGTAAATTGGCAAAGCTACATCAAACTAAACTGACATATGCTTCACGCCTGCTGGAGATGTGGCACAGCAAATTTGGTAACCCAGGGAGAGCAGCCTGTTTGCATGAGGTACAGCTCATTTTTTTTTTCAGGGAGGCTGAAGCATTAATGTTGGCATGACAGGGCTTTTCTGGGTTTGCATGTCTTGTGCATCTGCTTCAAAACAAAGTGACCAAGAGGTATAAAACTCTTCCCTCAGTTTACTGTGAATTTCCTAACCCCTTTCCCAGTTCCTCTCACTCCTATCAGTTTTGAAGCTACATTGCCCTTGAGAGCAGAGTGTGCTCAGTGCTTGCCCAGAGGTGGCTGCGCCTTTCTGGAACATCATCCGTGGTTCCTTGCTGTACCTTGGAGCTGGTTGCCCCCTGGCTCAAAATGTCCTTCATTTGCAGCAGAAATGGCAGTGCTGATGATTTAATATCAGCTGAGGTTTTATGAATGCCACCCACTAGGTGCTTTCTAAACACAGAGGGTGATACAGTCCCATCTAAAGACAAGAGGTGGAGGGCAAGCATGTCCAAGAAAAATTATCCAGGTGCTCACAGACATGTGTCTTAGTAGTTAAGGTGGATGTTTGTGGTTTTGCTCCCTTTCTTTTTTTCAGTTAAAAGCATCTTTCACCCACCCACTTCCCACATCTCAACCTATAGATCTTTTTCCCGTTTTCAAGTGTTCCTTCCCTCTTCCTCCCTTTTAGCATTTGCTGGTCCCCATGTAGAAAAGAGCTTCTCACTCCTGAAGGAAATAGGTGAGCAAATGACACAGCAGCTTCTTGCAAATGTCATGGAAGAGATAAATAATCACAAAGTATTTCTGGGAGCTAAAAGAAGATTAAGTTCTGAAAGCTTTCACCATTTCATTTGTGGAAAATACTGCAGGAGCCAGGACAGAAGACGCTTTTGTTTGCAAGACTGGTCTCATTGATGGAAAAGGGTAAGCCAGCAGTGGATCATGATAAGAGAAGCAGCAGAGGTAAAGCAGTTCCCAAGGGGTTAGCACTTACCCCAGTGCAAATGGGGAAGCCAAGAGAGACAATTGGATAATGTGGTCAGTTTGAGAGGCAAGGGGGATATTGGTGGCTGAGGGACAGAGACACAGTGTCACTTCCCAGAACCAGTATTCAAAACAGCATAACTAAATTTTCATACCATCTTTCATGAAGGAAACACCTGTACTATTTAAAAAGTTATATTCCTACACCTTTGATAGAAACTTTTCTTTAAAAACCTGCATTTAGAAGCTCTTTCCTTTGTATTCAGCACAGCACTGGAATCCATGCCGCCTGTACAGCAATTACCATTTCAGCTGATAGCAAATGTCCCACTGACTGAGAAGGAAGGAGAGATGGACATAAGACTTGCAATTGGCCATGCTCTCTTGGGGTCAGAAGTGCCTGCTTTCAAGGTGGAGTGCATAACACATAGTTTGACTAGTAATGTTAAGTGTCTGTCATTAAGGGTAACATGCCAAGTCTATAATTAAATCATGATACTGTATAATACAGAAGGTTACACTGCATGAGTAGAGACAGCTGTCAAGCCCTGTGCCTTTTATTAATATATATGGCATGCACAGCATGTGTGTCTCTAACTACTTGCTAGCTCTACCTTCATAAATTATATTTGCCACTGTTTCTGATACTGGATAGCTTTAAAAGCAAACCCCATCCGTTTCTTTGAACATACTTTTCAAGTGGAACTGAAGTAAAAAAATTTCATGTGAGCTGATCTAGCTGACTTGCAAAGAATATTCCTTCCATATTTCCAAAACGCAGCATGGCCTGGTGGAAAGGTAAAACACTCATCCTAATCCCAGCTCTGTCACTGAAGCACCAGGGCCTTGGGCCAGTAAATTAGCTCAATCTCTCTGCACAAGAGTGAGAGAAGACCTGGCAGAGCTGAAGGGAGGACTCATTAATTAATGAGAAAATCCTTGCTGGGTATCCTGGTGATGTGAAGTGACAAGGAAATATTACTTCATACCAAGAAGGAGCTTTGCTTAACTGATGTTAAGGAGAAGCTGGGACAAGCAGGTACCAGAAATATGGCACATCAGTATCTAGCCATAATCATTACTTGGCATTACACTCATGGGTAGAGGAACTACCTGCAAACTTCTCTGCTTTACACCTCCTGTCGTAAGCTAGTATGGACGTAGGGAGGAAAGTTACTGCTGTGTGATTACACTGACACAGTGTCCTGGATGCCCTGCAGGGAGCAGAGGGAGGCACCCATGAGAGCAGCTCTACAGCCTTTTTAATAGTTGAACCCAGGATGGCATGCCCCCTCCTTGCTCCTCATCATAATATGGACATACTCGTTAAACCAAAAACTAGGTGTTGGGTCATGTTTTAAGGTTTTTGCTCCTCTAAATTTAATGTCAGGTTGTACACAAAGGACCACTACTAAAGACATATTTCCTTGTTTCATACACTGCCACTGCTGAAGTGGGCAGTCTCCAGATTTCATACCCTTGACCTTTGTCAGCACACCTGAGTAAACCCCTGCTCCCAGAGCTTGTGCAGACATCCAGGTTTTCATGACTTATTGCAGAGCAAGCTTCCCATGAAATTAACGGGATGCTTGTTACTGACTTTAGAGGTAGCCGATTCAACTGCTCAGAAGCTGAAACCTGGAGAGCCCTGAGCACTTCCTGGCTCTGCTCCACCAAAGCCCTTCTGTGTGTTTAACTTTTGAGTGTGTGAATAGTCTCTTTCTAGTTGGTGCCCCCACAGCATGTCCTGACTAAGCAAGGTCAAGATCCTCAGTCTCCTGGCTCACACTGCTGGCCCTGTGCACCTGAAAACACTCCTCTATCTCCCCCGCTGACATGAATGCCACAAGTGCCTAAACCTTTGTAATTACTAAATGCGTTTGTATTACTCAAGGATGGATAAGTAAAGATGATAATTTTTGATGCAAAACAGACCTGCATACACATAGTGGTTATGCCTCAGCTGAGCCAAAAGCTGAATCAAGCCCGGTACAGACCTACCTTTAACAGAGGCTGAGTAGGTGGAAATGATGCAAAGGAACAGCACAGTAAGAAGAATCATGCTGGACTCCAGTGAGCTTCTGACTGCAGCATGGAAGTGTGAGAGCCTCCAAGAAGTGCGCTGCTGAGAGTGGAGGGGTGCCTTCCAAGAGAGACTCGGGGCTGGCCACACTGTTTATCTAGATGTAGTAAAGGTCAGATTCCAAATTCCACACTCAGGTACTAAGTTCATCAAAGGACTTCCAGTTAATTATTAAGAAGTAAGGTAACTGGTGGTTTCTATCCCATTTATCAATTGCCTCAGTTTTCGTTTTTGAATGCTAAGCCCACCAGCCACATTTGTGCATGGGGGGAGCGCACCTCCAGTCCTGGCAGGACCAGGAGATCCTGTCATTCCTCCTCTGTTTGAACAAAAGGGCCATCAGATCTGTTGCTACCAGAGGCCAGATCCTCACCACTGTCTCCCTTGTCTTGTATTAACTCTATGAGCAACCCCAGAAGCAGATGATTTTTAAAGGTCTTCCTGGAAGCAAAAGTACATAGGATTTATCAGTGCTATCCCTAAAAGCAATTCTACTTTTTATAGAGACTAAAATGCATGTCAGTTCCTGTTGTATTGTATCCTACCAAATAGATTCTCTTTCTTCCAGCAGCCCCAGCACCCATCTTACACCATTGTAGTGGCAGAGGTTAGAGACTGAAAAGGTGAGATAAACCAGTCATTCTGTCCCACCTCAGTGAAGAGAACCTGCTTGCCTAGGTCTGGGAGCAGGGCAAACCAAGCCCTCCTATTCACCCCTATTTTTCCCTTTTCTCACACTCACTTTACCGCCTCCCCTGATAAGCTCCCAGCTGACTAACCCATGTGCTTCCCCATTTCCTCTGAGATTAAATACCTGGCCATGTCACACTAAGCCTCAGGGCCACAGGGCTTGCTAAGGACCTCCTTGTCCCTTAGGTGACGGTGAGGCAGCAGGTCACCTCCCTATGTTCCTTGGCACACCCTGGGTGTCACAGCCTGCATCCCCTTCCGCAGCATACAAAGCCTCCCTTGCTCTGTGAAGAGGGAGGATCTGGTCCTGCTTGTAGAGGAGGCACACCTGTGAGCCATCACCATGCTCCTCCATTCCACTTCCAGAGATTGTTTTAACAAGACTGTGAGCTACAAACACCCCAACTGAATCAGTGCCACCCTCGTCTGTATTTAGCTGCTTCCAACACTCCATTACTGCCACCAGCTCCTCTGTATTAGTAAGGGATTATAAAATGAGAACAGCCTTCACCTTGAGTGGTACAAGTGCCTCCTTTGTTGCCCTGGGGTAAAAGAAAAGCTGAGCACTGTGGATGCCAGTCATTGTCCAGCAGTGGGAAACAGCAGGTCCATGCCAGTGCGTCTTGCTCACACTCATCTCCACACCTTGTGGAAGTCCCCATGGGAGCTCTTCACATGTGGTGTGTGAGTATGCATGCACATGGGAGGGAGGAGATTAGTAGGAAACCATGGGGACTGCTACTGCTTCTCCCCAGTTCGTGGTTATTTATCCTGCTTCCCCAGCATAGGCTGTGACATGCTCCTGAATTCAAGGGACTGGGGCAGAGAACTCCAGCTGAACCTTTTGCTGCATTTGGTAAACAAGAAACTTGCCAGGCTGTTTGCAAAACCAACTCGAGCTAGAGGGAAACTGGAGGTATAGATGCTGCTTTGGAAATGAAATGTTCACACTTCACTTGTGAGGAGGAGTTGGCGTTAGTCTGAAATCTGGAGAGAAGCAATTATCCTCTTCCTATGCTCTTGGGACACAGTAAATTTATTTCTTCCTTGCAATAATGCTGTTAATAAAAGGGACTCTCTTAGACACTAGAATATCAGAGGCCATATCCTGTGCTGAGGTAAATCAGCATATCTTTTTGGACACCACTATAGTAGTGCCAATTACAGAACTAAGGATGTAACCATCATGTAGAGAAATAGTGTACATACATTTCCATGTGCATATACATAAATACACCTATACACATACCCATAATGCATACTAAGTATATTCCTCGAACGTCTTACAAACAGGAGGCTTGGGCCTCATCTCAGTTATGGCTAGATTAAATCAGCAGTGACTTCCCTGAAGTCAAATTACACCAATGAAAGAAGTGTTGTGCCCACCAAAGTCCATTACACACAGAGGTTGCAGAATGAGCCCCTAATGCACACTTCAAGCCATGCTGGCATAGGTACTGGGGTCAAAGTATTACTGTTGCTGCACAGTTTCCAGAGTTCAAACTATAAGTCTCATATCTTTATATAACCTAATAAAACTGATGAGAGTTCCTCACATCTTCTGAGTTCAACAAAATGTTTTTGTCTTCTCTTCACAAGCAACATTGTGAAGATCTCAGTTTTCAACTCAAACTTTCAGCTATGTGCACCAAAGTACCCCAGTCCATCTTCACCCTTCACCTGGAGCCTGTGTGCCCCAGCTCCTGCTGTTTTGGTGAGTAAGGCACCACCTGTCCCTGCCACTGGCAGAAGACACCCAGCCAAGCCACTGGCTAAAGGTGAAGTGTTATACTGACTAAGGTATGTGTCACCTGCATCCTAAGCTTCGCATGAGTGCTGCAGTCAGACCTGCCCCACAGAGAGTAATATCAGTATCTACGCCTGGGCCTCCATGGAGAATCTTTTTTCTTTTCTCCATACTCTGCCTCTCGACCTTCAGTGCTGTTTCTACAAAATGCTTCAATATGCAGTTTTAGACTATGGGGTATTTTGTTCCGTTGCTAGAGGAAGCTCTCCCTTTGATCGAGCATCTTGAAAAGTCATGTCATGGCTTTTCAAAATAATGAAATTCAGTCAGATAGCTCTTTATAGGTATTTGCAACTGCTCAGGGCATCATTTTGCTTTGTCACCAGTTGGCACTTGGCAGACTTCAGCAGAAGTTGCATTACCCCATGTCAGCGTCTGAGGACATTGGGGCCTGGATTAGCTTTGGAAAGTGCAATATGACAAAACCAGATTTATAAATCAAAATGTGTAGACACTTTTTTCATTCTAAGAAAAAGCACATCTGAATATTGAGAATATTTGTTAGATGCCTTTTGGATTTTTTCTAAAAAAGCAAGCAAGCAAGCAAATGGGCTTCTGCTGGTAACTGATCTGCAGCATTTTAATGACCAAAAGAAAACGAAGGATTCTGCATAAGGACAGTGGTGCTTTTGGACTTGTGTGATGCTAGATATTAATAGTAACATGAGTGAGGTTTTAAATAGACACTAGCAAAAGCAAATACAAATCTAGCTATTTTTAAAGTAATGCAGGGAATAGGAATCACAAAGTAAATCAAATACTAGAGCAAATACTAAATACCAACAGCAGTTAAAGATCAGTGTCTTACTATAGAGACACCATAGTTTTGTGACTATAACGCAGCCATAGTAAACCTGAAACCAGCACTAAAACTGAAAGGCTGTGTATATCTGGAACCAATGAAACTTGAGATAAACACTGATGCAGATGAAAAGGGTATTATGGTAGCACATACTCGTATGTTTGCTAACTTCATGTGCCTCACTAACCAGGCGCAAACAGATATCTACATATTTAGTCTGCCCAAAATACATTTTTCTCATATAATATAATCCCAGTCTCCAGAGCTCCTGTACCAGGGCAGCATTCTTTCATGAAGTCATCTGAAGGCAAAAGAACATCTCCCTTTGCTGAGTACTGACACCAGAGTTTAAAAAGTGAATTGGCAGTGGCCTTTAAAAATATGAAGCATGAACGCACATACCCCTTTTTAGGAGCCAGAGGGAACATGGCATTGCTGGGGGACCTTTGGAGCTAAAAATCTGCTCTCAGGAATGCCACCACTTAAAAATACTTCACTGGCCCCTGTGTGAACTCGGTAGTGTCATCAAAACCATCAGATAAAAATAAGGTTTTCTTTTCGCTCCTCTTAATCCCGTGGAGCCACCACAGCCAGAAGCAAGGGAGAAGCACAGCGTTCCTCATGACTCTCACTCATCAGGGGCACGAGGAAGGCTGTGGGGCCTGGCACAGGGTGTTTCAAAGCAGTCAGCTCTCCTGTGTACCTACCTGCCTGCAAGGACAGGCCCTGAAAGCCCCTAGGGCCTGACCACTTATGTCCACTGTCACTCACACCGCTGTCATGGCAGGGCAGCGTGGCAGGGCTGGCAGCAGCTGCCTCTGACAGCCAGCCTGTTACAAGCAGCAATCCCTGGCAGCGTTCAAGGCCAGGTTGAACGGGACTTTGAGCAACCTGGTCTAGTGGAAAGTGTCCCTGCCCGTGGCAGGCGTGTTAGAACTGGGTGATCTTAAGGTCTCTTCCAACTCAAACTACTTTACATGATTCTATGAGGTAAAAATGAGAAGCCCACACAACACATGGCTAATCTGCATTTGTTATGGTTGTACCTTTTTAATTTTATTTGGCTGGAAGCTGTCCCACGTGAAAACAGAACTGGCTCAGCAAACAGCTGTCAGCGCAAACCCAAGGCGCCGAGCAGGACCGGGGCAAGAGCAACTCACTAGCCGCCTGCCTGCCTGCCTGCCTGCCTGCCTGCCTGCCTGCCTGCCTGCCTGCCTGCCCGCCCGCCTGCCTGAACAGGCAGTGACGGGTCTCGCCACGGCTACCAGCCTCCCATGGGCCCGTGAGTGCCACAGTAGGCAGTGTCCGCGCCTCCCTCAGCGCTGGGGCAGTGTCCATCACCGCCTCCCGTTGCTCGCCGGGATTTGTAGTCGCGGCTGACGGGAATGTGCGCGTGCGCGGCGATGGGGCGCGGTTGCTTTTGCTATTCTCTTTCTCTGCCTCTGGTTACCTGCCTCTCGGCCCTGTGGGTACGTTGCAGTCGCTTCCCTGTGCCGCCGCGCCTGCTACCCCTTGGTGGTTGGGGACGGGCGGGGGGGAAGCGGGACTCGGGCTCGGCTGTTCCTCTGAGGGAAGGAGGGGAAGATGGCGGCTTCCACACGACCTGGGGAGCGTGATAACCTCCCCTCCACACGCCCGGCTGTCGCTGCCGTCTGTGGCGGGGTCACGGCCCCCCCCTTCCCTCTCCCCGGCACTTGGGTTATGTTGAGTTACGAAGTACTCGGGCGCGTGAGCAAAAATAACGCGACTGTTTCTACATATATAACGCGCGTATACATGGATACGTGTGGGTATGTATGT